TGCAATGCATGCATTAACACACAACCACACAATAGGGTGGGAGAGGGTTAAAATTCTAAAAAGTAATCTAGGTAGGTGGAGAGAGAGGTTGATTACTGAATCCTTGTTCATCGAATCTACACCCAACACATGCAATAGGAATGATTCATCACTCATACCCGAAATATGGAAAATATTACTACCAATCAAATCAGGTGAAAAACAACGGAACTATATAAATGAATTTAGGAAGTCGTGTGATTACCTTGATATGATTATCAGCAATAAATTGTGCTCGAAACGTCATCAGTAAACATTATTGTATAACACTGTGAGACTTTATCAGAACAAAATTTACCCTTAATGGAATATTCACTCAAGGATTGTGAAATTCTGAAATATACTTTGATATTCAATAAAATTATGAAGCCCAATCCGATGTTGCTTTAAGGGAATTTTTTTAGTGAAGATTGCAGGGTGAGTCCCATCCATGTAAAACTATCATTCGGGAAGGTAAGAAATAATCCTGGGACCACTGAAATTACTCGTGTGCGTTCACTTCTTAACACAACCTTGCACACTGAGCGAACTTGTCACCACAAGGTTTACATGTAGATTAGTAGATGCGAACACTCCTCCCGAATCGAAATGGATATAGAGTCTGTAACTCCTTTAAAAATCTATTGGTTCGTTAAAAGCAACTGGCAGAGAGCTGAGTACTTAGGTATCTTGTATATCATCACAATTTAGCAGGATATATCTGCAACTTCTAGAGAATTAATACCATCCCGGAGACTCAAGTCTATATCATTTAGTCACATACGCTATCTCTGGTTTATAGCATTATCTCGAGTACACTAAACACTGATGTGACCAAAAATGTTTAAACTAAATGATTCAAATAAAGTTTCGTTTGCAGCAAGTGAAAGTTAATTGGATACGTATAATACGGGTGAGAACTAATGAGATACTGGTATTTAATTTAGTTTTCCTTCGCTTATGACACCAAATGCAGTTTATATTAGTTCTCCTCGGATTATAATTAGAATCAGTTGACCTTTTATTGTTATTATTATTAATATCTCGGGTTTCAAGTGGAACATAGAGCTTCAACAACACATCTTGGTTTTCTTCTACTCACTTCTTTCCTAATCAGCTGGGTCCACGATTGACCAAACTCTCATCTCTTCCTCACACGATCTCCTCCATATCACCCTAGGACGACCCACTCGTCGTTTCCCACTTGAATTCCACTCGAGGGCCTGGCGTGCGATGTCACTCGACGGTCTCTTCAATGTATACCCGATCCGTCTCCATTTTCTCCTCCATATTTGTTGAGCGGTCGGTTCTTGGTTGGTTTGTTCATCGCCAGAGTTTCTTGTTGCTAACTCTTTCTGACCGGCCATCTGATCTTCAGTATGGAGCGAAGGCAGCTGTTGGTAAAAGTCTGTAACCTGTTGGAAATGCTTTTCGTGACACGAAGTGCAAGTTTCTGACCCATATAGAAGCACTCACTGACTTCACATTGGTGTTGAAAATCTGAATCTTGTTGTTTATGCTGAGTGCAGGAAATTCCCGAACTGATTTCAGGTTGATGAAGGCGTATCTTGCCTTCCCGATTCTGGCTGACTTTGACATCTTCATACGTTTCACCTGTAGTTGAAACGATGCTTTCTGGATAAGGGAAAAAAGCCACATCTTTCAAATTTCTCCGGTTGGCGGTGATTGGTGCTGCTTGTTGTCGCTGTTGGTTAGTTATCTTCATCACCTCTGTCTTCTCTATGTTCACCTGGAGTCCTGTTTTCGCTGCTTCTTCTGCTAGTTTGTTCGTTTTCGCCTGTAAGTCTTCGAGTCTGTGTGACATAAATCATCTGCTAAATGCAGATCTTCTAGAGTCTTTATACTCGTCCAGTGTATTGCTGTCTTCTCACTCCCCACGCAGAGTATGACGCATGATCCAGTCCAACACAATTAGGAATATCATTGGTGATAATAGGCGGCCAGCTTGTTTTACTACTGTATGCAATTCGAAAGCCTCGCTGAGTGAGTTTTCTATTGTGGATCATCTGAAACGTGGCATTGTCATATTGCCAGCAGTTGAATGAGGTTGATTAACACTTGAAGTACGCCGTAGTGTTGAAGTAGTTTCCAAATCACTTCTCGGTCAACGCCATCTAAAGCCTTTTCGAAATTGATCTGCATCCGGTGCATGTTTTAGTCTCCCCAAATGACGCGACTTAGCATTTCGCCTGGCGTGGAAAAGGGGATTATTCCACGCCATTTCATGCCATGCAGAGGCCTAGGTTAGCCTTCTTTGGAAGCTTGACAAGTTAGTTTATCCTTTCTTTCAATCGGTGGGCACCTTTCCAAACCTTTTGTAATAATGGCGTGAGCATATCTTCTGCAGTCTCTGGATCCGTTTGCAGTTCTCCAGTAGCAATTCCGTCTGGTCTTGCTGCCTTCCCGGACTTCGGTTGCTTGATTGTATTCAGAGAAGTAAATTGCTCGCTTACTGGTATGAAGTATAGCCTCAGTGGATTCCAATATTTATTGATGTGTGTACTTTGTAATACTAAATTTATGCATAATTATTTGAATGTCATTCAAATGTAGTTAACTTTTGACATAAGTATACCAACAATTTAACCGTTTACACTAAAAAGTAATAAAACATTTAGCCAAATACATTAGAGAACTTGATGTATCACGCGTCATTACTAAGTAATGAAAGGATAAAAAATTTGAATTTTCATACTTGCACAATAAATGAACACTTCAAAAAAGATTAGTCTTCTGCAGCTATGAGCCACATACCTTGCATATCAGTTTACTGTACGTACATAGAGGAAGTTATCATTATGGTTCTTTGTATGTACGATGAATAAGTCACTTGACGAAACCGCTTGCTCTTCTTGCAAATTATGATGCGCCAAGTTCCTGATCCATATCAGAAGTACTGACTGGACATTAGAATTGGAAACCCGAATATTTTCCCTTATGATAAATGATTACTTTCATAAGTTTGGGAGAATATCTGAGAATTTTAGTATTTGGCTTAACAACAAGCACACAATCTGACCATCAACATACAAAAAAAAGATTACGTTGTAATAACATGCAAATAAGCATTTAGAATTGATTTGAAAGCAATTAACATTATATTAATGAAGATAATGAAAATAGTTACAAAAGAAATTTTTAAGAAAAACATTATCCCTATTCTATTTTTTCTTATTCACTGAAATTAACTCACCAAATTGCCTTCAAATCACTTCGAAGTGCTTATTTGCATGCTACTGCAACGTAATCTTTTTTCTGTACGTTGAAGGTGAGTTTGTTGTTAAGCCAAGTACAAAAACTTTTCAGATATTCTCCCAAGCTTATGGTAAATGACTACTTTCTATTCGTACTATTTGTAACTGATAATGCCAGCACATTTTTGTTTCCTCAAACTGAAATCTTCACGCCAAACGTCTACTGTGAATAGAATGTATGTTCTTATTTCATCAGCACAGTGTATATTTTAGGCTGTGTGTACTTGAAAAGAAGCCTCAGAATAGAATATGCATATTTTATACCTCAAATGTAGTTCTTCTTGCTTTAACGATGATACGTAGGTGTTTGAAATTACAGTTCAATAAAACCTAGTTCATTTTAAACAGTCTAGAAGAATTCGACATTGTTAAGAAGCATAAAATCTTTTTCTGAAAAGGACATTTCATGTTAACAGATAGAAAGAAAAAGTGAAATTTAATCACTCCGATAAAAATTATAGCTTTTTCCATTTTTGTTATAATTACTTTTTCTTCTTTTTACCTATCCGACTATCATTTTTCCGACAACAACTAGAAGGAACATTTACTTATAAATAAAAGTAATTAAAAAAGGTAATCAGATGAAAAAATAATTTACATTTTTGCATGAATAAACCATTCAGCAATTTTACTCCAGTCAGTACAAAAATACAAGTTGTAGACAATTTTTTTTATTAAGTTGCTTTGATTTCCCAACCTGGATGAAAGCTAATTAAACATAGGCAATAAACATACAGAGTTATAAGAAGAAAGCTAGTCAACAAGCTGCTTAGTTGGAATTGTACCCTACTGAAAGCGTGGAAAACTATTCTGTTGGACAATGGTCAGTTTAATTCGATAACTGATTGCCGTGATATTTAACAAAAGAAACAAAGAAAATTCACTATGGATACGCATTTATGAAAATGTCTTGTATTTCACTAAAAAAATATAACTATTACCTTAATTTAATTAATTTAATCTATGAATATTTGTAAGGATTGCTATTTTCCACTTCAAGACCTAGTGATTCAATTCATCAACATTCCCACTAGTTAGGACAGCATGATTTTGAAAATGCCGACCGAAAAAGGTGTTGTATGGCTTAAGGTAAGACTTGTCAAACATGGGATATGAGTGTATCTTACTCTTCAGATAACTTATTTCATAAAATTTTTGTAGTGCATTTCAGGTTTGTTCTGTTTTTTCATCAAGAAATTAAGTACTAAAGTTATATCTTAGATAAGTTTACACAGCGAAATATCCCCATATATCGAGGAAACATGGCCATTCGACTTTCAGCAGTTAATTTTTAGGAATTTGATTTTTTTAAGTTTGATCACTGGTTAATTGTTAGAGAACCACTGAAAACCAGGGGTAACTGGACAGCTGTTCCTTCTTAGCGTGGGACTCTTCAGCGGTACACAACCACGCCCCCCATTGGGGACCAGACCCCGGACCCTGAGATTATGAAACCAAACTCGTTGACTATTAAACCAGTTCGGCCGGAATCCGATGGCTCATGAATCCTAACTCATGTCAATTCACGATTTTAGCGCGACCAAAAGCCATTGTTATCGGCAAGTATCTGTCCACAAACTTGATCTGATGGACCTCACTGATCACTCAGTATTTATGATTATATTTAACTTATATGGTTCGTCTTGTGGAAAAATGTCTACGTTTTAGATTAATCAGTTTATGCGCCAAAACAGAAGAGGTAAGACGATGCGTTCAAATATATTCAGTTATCAAAAGCGAAATGAACACAAATTCAGTACTCACTTATCGAATCAAGTGTATCAGTTTAAAAAATTATATTGTAGATCCAGAAATTTTAATAACAAAAGAAAGGAGTTTCATCAGTTTTTCTAATTTTAACAGTTATGAATACAAACATATCTATACAGAAGAATGAGAAGTAAAATAACAAAAACTAAGACTAAGTCCGGTAAATACACTTATAGTGTTATGAGTAATTAAGTATGATCAAAAAAATATTATATTACAATGTGTCATATCCAAAAATCAAACTATACATAGAATCGCATCCTATTTGACATTTTGATCAGTTATCTGTATCCTTATGAAATATATCTCTCCAGTTAGCTGAATAAAATTGGCCTATCGAATAATTTGTGGACAAAATTCTGCAACTATATTGTTCGCTTACATCTATTGTTCTAAATCTAATGCTGTTACCTAATTATACCTTTTTATTTGTACCAACTATTTGGGAATTGCACAATATGAGAAAATTTTACACGTTCATAGAAAAAGTATGACAGAGATATTTCTGTTATAACTACGATTGACTAAAGTCGAACAAATTAAAACAAGATCAGTTTAAACTGAAAGTAATTTATTCAGTACAAATTTAGTAGAAATTAAATCAAATTATTAAAAATACAGTAAAAATGTTAGGTTTTTTCCTCAATATTGAAACTTGGAAAATACATCAAAGGAAATCAGGTATGCACACAAACTTTTAAATGAAATCGGAATATGAAAAATTACTGAAAGTACAAAAGTGTAACAAGAGTTGGGCAGAAAGAGAGAAGGAAAAAGAAGGTTAACAATAGCAAATCAAAAAAGAGTAAACAAGTATCAAGGTCAAATAACTTATAAATCACAGCCATGACGTCCCGTTTTTGTAAAGGAAAACTGCATAAATGTCATTCAAATTTAAAAATTACCTGTCATTCATTTCAAATATCACAATGTTTTCTAAGACGAAAGAAAGTCAATTTCCTCTTTCAGTGCATCAGCCACTTTTCCAGCTAAATTACAATAATACGTTGCAGCTTCATGATGACCAAGTTTTGTAAGTATTGAACCGAATTCCATAAATATTGACGAGTACAATGTCTCTGTGAGTTAAAAAAACCAAGTAGTGTTAGTTAGATTTAGAGCAATAAACAGCGTAAGTAAATAAAAGATATGATAGAGAACTTTAAAAAAAAATACAGACAATTAAAAAACATTGAAAATTGAAAAGCGAAAGAGAACGAACAAATCTTGTTGAAGATTTTACTTTTGGATTAAACTTTAGCCTGAATAAGAATTAACCTCATTTGTAGCTACTATTACGAAATACTTAGAAAGTCACCAACAGATTCGTAGAGCGTATTCTTAATTGGATCAATGGGCACAAATGTCATCTTTAAAGGCAACTTGTTAGTGATCCTCAACAGATCACAATGAGATAGACATAGAGTTAGCACAACCTCAAAAGAGATAAAACAAGTAATCAATCCCTAATGTGATAGGGATAAACATATTAGCCAAACAGGTGGGATATCAAACAAACAGCTCTTACTGACATTTTACGACAGATTATCAAGTGTGTTCAAAGCTTTTCCCTTCACAGACTTGTTACCATGTCACGCTTCTATAGGATAAACACTGTTGCCATATGAAAATAAATCAGTGATCAAAACTCCCTTACATAAAGACTTGTGTTTCCTTCATGATTTTATATGTGACAATAAGAGAAAGGTCTATTTTCTATATCCAATACGAATTAGGTACCAATCAAAATCAATTACTGATATCAAACACACGAAAACAAATGTTTATACAGAATAATATGAGGCCATCAGCTAGTTCCTCCCAGGCTAATCAGTCATTTACAACCTAAAAGTTCATTACGTACATCTACATATATGCAGATAGAAGTGGTCACATACGAGACCTAGTCCTTACGGCTTCTGAAGACCAATGGATGATTGGAAAACACGACTCTTGTCAATTATGACAAAAATATTTTCGAAGATGCCTAAAAGCATCTCATGACCATATCGCAGGCTGACTGCCTTGAAGATCACCTACATGTAAACTTTCATTCACGAAAAAAAGTAATGTTTCGGTCCTCTGAACTTTCAGCTCGATATTCTTGTCGATGAATCTTAAAGAGTACCCATTTTGGACGAAGGTTTCTTTCAGACCTAGTTCTGCTTCCAGGACGTCAAGACTGTACATGCGTCGGATCAAACTGGCAAGGGATTTTCGGTCAACAAGCCACCCAACTGTAGAAACTTGTTAGCTGACCGTTACAAGTGAGTCTTCTATGGATTGACCTTCTTAATGTTCCGTCACATTAGTTAGTTACTTCCACATTAAGAAAGGGAATTTTGAATTCGTTTTCCATTTTTAAATAGAATTTCACTGCCGGATGACAGTTGTTTAATACTTGTAGCAATTGACTGGGGTCATATCTACTATCGCAAATGATGAAAATGTCATCTACGCACATTTTATACAGTTGTAATTTATAAATGTTTGTATGTAAATGAGATTGTACAGCTAAGGAAAATGAATTCGCCGAAAGAGACTCTTCGCTGGACTACATGTTTTGTTTTCATCAATGAAACTAAAGTTGACAGAACATTAAAATAACGTATTTCACCGAACGGCACTAAAATGCATATGGATCGCCATCCCTTCACTAAATTTATGGTACAAATTACCCATACATTTACCAGATACACCTCCCATAATCCGAACACTCCATTCGACCAAGAAAATTGTTTAAATAAGCAACCCCGTTTAGGATTTTGTACTAAGGGATGGATCAAATATATTGTGAAATAATTTGAAGCGGTAGTCAAATCCACGTGATCCCACGAAATTAATGGAAAAAGGCTTAAATTTGTCAAAATCGAGTCCAACACTTAGACTATTACTGATTGACAACACATAAACGCACACCATATTCTTATATTTAGGAGTTGCATGAGCACATCATAAAACCAAAACTATTCCTTAGTCTAACAACAGTCTATATGTTACATCATTTTCTGTGAACACAATCTATTTACTTCGAGTATATATTTACATCAATATTTCTACATATTACCATAATGGGCTTCATAAAAATTCATATGGAATAAGAAATGTATTTTCGATAGAATAAAATAGTGAACGAAAGGAGTACGAAGGCAGCCTCGATAATTATGACATATCACAATGCTTTCTAGCTTTTGCCTAATGACGTTTTACAGCTTTTGTCTAGATTAATTTCATTTCCATATATTTAACCTTATTGGGTTTAATTTTATGTATAAATGACAACTTCAACCAAGAGGTAGTAATAAGAATTTCACAAATGATAAACCTAGTCTGTTTGTTGCTCATTCAATAAAATAGCTAGTCCGGAAACCTAAATTCTACAGAATAACTTTATGAAAATGGTTGACTTGTAAATCCCACGACTACTACTGATACTCATAAAGCAACTGTAAGATTTCCAAGCAAAATAGATGTAATATCAACAGAATCAAGAATATATTTTGTTAACACTAATACTCATGCAACTTTCTATCTCTATTATATTTCCCATTCTATCAAGCCAAATAACCCAATACCCAACAACATCAGATAGAATCCACGCAGAGGCACTGAAAACGGACCCAGAGTCCTAAACAAACATGCTCATGAAACTGCTAAAGAAAATGTGGAGAAAAGCAGAGGAAACTGCCGAAAAGAAGCAATGCCACCTTGTCAAATTCCCGAAATATGGCGACTTACGATTACGCAAGAACTGGTGAAGAATCACACTCCTGTCCACCCTGAACAGAACATAAAGCCACATCATCCTGCAAAGACCAAAAGATGCTTTGTGTATAAGATTTCGCCCCGAACAGGCAGGATTCATGATAGCCGAATCATCTGAGGATTGAATATCAACATCTTCAGTGCCAATTCAATATGAAGTGAACTTATTTGAATTCTCCATCAATGATGTAATTTCATTTCCTGACAACCTTTATTCTGATCGATTGTTACTTAGTATGTTACCAGGCTACTTAAATCACCTCGCCTAGTTAACTAGCTTGCTAGTTTTCTAGCCGGTCCCAAGCCCGGGTAAAGAGGGAAGGTTGAGCGTAAGGCTAGCAACCCTACACCACTTAACCTATCAAACCGCTAGAGATAGTTAAACACATAAGAATATGTTAAAAAACAAAAAATACAAAGGACCATTTTATTCTTCTCTGGAATCGGGGAGGCAAAATGACGCGGGCTGGTGAAGGCCTTCGGGAAGCCAGTCAGCCAATGTGTCTTCTCTCGATGAAAGCAAATTGAGAATGCGGACGTGGAATGTCCGTACAATGTACGAAATTGGGAAGGCTGCCCATGCAGCCAACAAAACGCGAAGATATGGCATACAAGTGCTGGGTATCTGCGAAAGTAGATGGAATGGATGTGAATTATCCAAATTGTCAACTGGAGAGTCAGTAATCTGCTTCAACCACCCAGACAACAACCACGAACACACTGAGGGAGTGTTATCATGATGTCACCAGTGTCATTCAAAGCTCTTATGCTGTGGGAATCAACCTCCTCCAAGACTATAACAATATGATTCAACTCAACGGGAAAGAAGGTCTCAGCCATTTAATACTACGCACCTGCAAACAACTCGGAACAAGAGAAGGAAGATTCCTATAGACAACTACTAAGAGTAAAGGACAACATCCCGAAATGGAGACATCAAAATACTTATAGGTGATACGGATACAAACCAAAACGGGGACAGATAATACAGGAAGAGAACTCATCATGGGTCGAGAGGCTCTCGGAGAAATAAATGACAAAGGAGAACTCTTCGCAGACTTCTGCGATTTCAATGATTTGGTGATCCGAGGCAGCATGTACAAACACAAGGATATACACAAGGCAACATGGATTTCGCCTGATGGACACACCAAAATCCACATGGACTTCATCTCAATACTGTTCAAGAAATGGAGATGCAGTCTGCTGGACACAAAGTCGAGTTGGCTCAGACCATCATCTAGTTCTAGTGTAACAACAGAAGACAAGGACCAGGCAACAGATCGTTTATTAAAGAAATCAACACATATTTGTAGATTTTCATGTACATATTGTAGATTATTGTTAGCAGAAAAACACAGTCTTCTGACTGGTTGTTTCTCACAAAAAGTTAACATTTCATCTCTTTGTGGCTGTTTCTTGAAAGTCAGATCATCTATATGCTAACTGTATCCACCTACGCAAAGTCTTTGTTCCTATTTTTCTCACGACCAATATTTGGGACATAAACCTTGACGTCTACCAATTTGGCTAGCAGCCAGCTCTCACCACACTAGGAACCTTCGAGGTGAAGCTGAAATCCTTCAGAACAACTGGAGACAGGCCACAATTCAAGTTCAATAATCAGAAACTGAGGGACAAAACTATAAGGGATGCCTTCGCTACAGATATCACAGTAAAGTCGGACACACTAATTGGCATCACTAAGGAAACCTGTATGGAAGAACATTGGAACTCTCTGAAAGTGATACTTAACGAAACATGTACAACTGTTCTAGGAAGAAGGAAGAGACAAGACAAGGAGTGGCTGTCAACGGATAGCTGGAAGCTAATCAAGGAGAGGAAGATGGTGAAAGAGATGACTCAATGCAAAGATGCACAACAGAAGGAGAAGCCGAGTTCAATGTACGCTGCACTGAATAAAGTAGTAAAGAAGAGTGCTAAGAAAGACAAAAGACAGTTCTACGGCAAACTGGCCGGCAACTGAAACGGAACTAGCTGCAGGTAAAAGAGATCTCAGGATATTATACCACAAAACCAGGTCCCTATCAGGAAAGAGATCAATCCAGATAATGAAAACATTAAAAGATGCTCAAGGAAACCAGGTTACCAAAGAGGAGAGGCAAACAAAACAATGGGCTGATCACTTTAAAGCACTCTTGAATCAACCATCACCTGCAGCTCGCCCAGAAATACTACCACCACCGACAGCACGCACAGAACTGCCTGCCAGTGGACACCAATCCTCCAACACAGACAGAAATCTTGAAAGCAATCCACCCACTGAAGGCCGAGAAGGCAGCAAGATCAGACGGAATTGCTCCTGGAGAACTGAAGACGGACCCAGAGACTGCAGTAGATGTGCTCACGCCATTATTGCAAAAGGTTTGGAAAGGTGCCCACCGATTGGAAGAAAGGTTGGCTACCTTGTCAAGCTTCCAAAGAAGGCTAACCTAGACCTCTGCATGGAATAATCCCCTTTTCCACGCCAGGCAAAATACTAAGTCACGTCATTTCGGGGAGACTAAAACATCCACTGGATGCAGATCTCCGCCAACCGGAACAAGCTGGATTCAGGAAAGGCGAATCGTGTGCTGATCAAACTGCAACTCTGTGCATCATCATCGAACAAAGCAGAGAATGGCAGTCAAACCTCCACCTCAACTTCATCGACTTCGAAAAGCCTCCGACAGCGTTGACCAAGGAGTAATTTGGAAACTACTTCAACACTACGGCGTACCTCTAGTCTTTATCAACCTCATGCAACAGCTATATCACAATGCCACGTGTCAGGCGATCCACAACAGGAAACTCAGAGAGGCATTCGAAGTGAACACAGGAGTAAGACAGGGCTGTCAATTATCACCGATGATATTCTTAACTGTGGTGGACTGGATTATGCGTCAGACTGTGGGGAACGAGAAGGCAGGAGTACGCTGGACGACCGATGAGAAGACTCTAGAAGATCTGGATTTCGCAGATGATATATGTCACATAAACTTGAAGACTTACAGGTGAAAACGAACAAACTAGCAGAAGAAGCAGCGAAGACAGGTCTCCAGGTGAACATAGAGAAGATGGAGGTGACGAAAATAACCAACGAACCACAACAATAACAACAAAAACCAGCACCAATCACCATCAACGGGAGGGATTCAACCGAGGTCACCTCCTTCACTTTTCTGGCCAGGAAGCGCGGTTTCAATCACAGGAGGTTGGAACGGATGAAGATGTCAAAGTCAGTCAGAATCGGAAGGGCTAGATACACCTTCATCAATCTGAAACCAATTTTGAAATCTTCTGCACTCAACATAAGGAACAAGATTCGGATTTTCAACACCAATGTGAAGTCAGTGAGTGCTTCCATTTTTGTCAGAAACTTGCACTGCGTGTCACGAAAAGCATTTCCAACAGGTTACAGACTTTTACCAACAGCTGCCTTCAGTGCATTCTGAAGATCAGATGGCCGGTCAGAAAGAGTTAGCAACAAGAAACTCTGGCGATGAACAAACCAACCAAGAACCGACCGCTCAACAAATATGGAGGAGAAAATGGAGACGGATCGGGTATCCATTGAAGAGACCGTCGAATAACATCGCGCGCCAGGACCTCAAGTGGAATCCTAATAGGAAGCGATGAAGGATCGTCTAGGGTGACATAGAAGAGATCGTGTGAGGAGGAGATGAGAGATTGTAGGCGACGTGGTCCAAGCAGAAGAGGACGGCATAAGACAGGACAAAGCGGAGATGTGTTGTTGAAGCCCTATTTTCCACTCGGAACTCAAGCGAATAATAATAACAAAAGGGTACTTAAATACATTAGATATCCCAAATATAAAAATTAGCAATCATTCTAAATGTAATTGAATATAGTAGCTACATCCATGATGTAGTGAAGAGATATACGTAATGAATCGTAACTTGGGACAAATGCCAGCTACTGTTGATCAATTAGGAACCTCAGATTCACCTTGCTTATTTGATTTCTTTACGAAGACGTTACAATAGATCTCATATTGATATACGGATAAAAATTGGGTGCTGACGTGGAGTGTAATTCAATTATGAATAAAATTCATTTTGATAAAGTCATTTACTGTCATACAATAATATTTACTTCTGACCTTTCGAGCACAATTTATTGCTCATAATCATATCAAGGTACTCACACAACTGTCTAACTTCCTTTATATAGTCCCATTATTTGTCACTGCTTGATTTGATTGGTAGTAGTGTTTTCCATATTTCCTGCATGAGTGATGAGTCACTTCTATTGCATGTGTTGGGTGTAGACTCGATGAACCAGGATTCGGTAATCAATCTCTCTCTCCACCTACCTATATTACTTTTTAGAATTTTAACCCTCTCTCACCCTATTGTGTGGCTGTGTGTCAATGCATGCAGTACTATTGCTGAGTTTTTTTTCTAAATTACTTATCTTCGTGGGGTCAATCGACTTAACCTTAGCTAAATTCGTATGTTCTGATAATCTCACTACTCCTGATCCACTAGTTTGACCTATGTAGTTGACCTCAGTCATTGGAAAGTATTTTGTAAATTGTATTATTTTGTTTAATTCGATCCACCGGGTCCTTTAGCCTACAGGACTGTCTCTAAGTGAACAAAATGTATAGACAAAAAAATGGTGTAGCGATGGTATTACCAATACGCCTGATAAGCTCAATGAGTCGGTTCATCTTGGAGGATGTTTATTGTCATACAGTCAATCAGATATTGATTATTTATTTATATATTAAAATCTCGGTGGATTGCAAATGATATATACACCACGTATGTTTGAATAATAAAAAGGTTGTTGTCACAGTGAAATCAGACTTTTTTGTCCTAGTGTGGGAGATATTCCGAAGTGAATATTTGGTTTGAATGTCGTATCGAGAGGCGTACTTCTAGTCTGTTTGGACAACAACCACTAATCAGTGACACTCCGTTATAATATATTTGGCGACAGGTTATTCTTTCTTCCTTGCCCAGATTTATTGCGTTAGCCCTACACTTCACTCGGAACAAATAATAATAAATAATAAGAAAGTGCTGGTGAGTACTATTTGATTTTCATAAATATTCCAAATGCCATCTATACTTGACGGAAAATACCACTAGTCGTTACCAGAATATCAAAAACCCATACAAATAAACAGTCCAAAGTGAAACAATAAATGCAGAATTTTAGCTAACCTGTTTCTTTTGTTGGTTTTAATACTCCCAATTCATAGCATGCCTCTAAATATCTGGCTGCTAATTGATATTGATTAAGGTTGGAAAGCGACTTTAAAACAGCATTATGATCTTCCAAATATAAATAAACAAGGACAGCCAAGTCCTAAAACAGTATTTCAAAGGAAGATTCCATTATATGTAATTAAACGCAGAAATCTGTTAACAATCACCTATCATAAAATGAAATCTTACACGTAATGAGTGTCAATCAACAGTGACGAAACAGAAATAAAGCAACTAGGAGCAAGAATCCACACCTAAACATTGATACAATTACTGACCAATATAAGGTAATTTGAAACTATAAGAAAATTTAACTGCAACAATTTCGCTGGAAAAACCCTAATGCTTTCAGAGATAAAGAAAAACCAGCTTTAGGTCGTCAGGTGATAATCTTCACTATCGTGAAAAAAATCCGAAAGAAAACCTTTCGGAACATTACTAAGCTTGATATAACAATCAAACACTACGAGCCAGTAAATAAATAGAAATTAAGTTCAACAACTAGACTCTTGTATTCGATCTATTAATTTCTGGAGTCACATCAGAGAGATCAGATTCAAGTGTGAAAGATCTGCATATGAAATGGGGATTGTAAAACATTTGAATAATTAAAAATAATTTTAACAGTATAGAGGACAGACAGTTTCCACAATTATAAACATCAAATACTTATTTAACTTCACATTGATATTATCAGTTCTCCTTTTAATGACAATAGCAACGTAGTTCTCAAATACCTCCTTCCTGTCAGTAAAAAGTTAAAAGAAAATGTGGGAGTTCCACGAGGGCTCCTGTCCCGATACTGGATATCGGGATCGGAATGTGTCAACATTATTAAATGTGTTATTCCAGTATAAGACTTCATATCAAATAACGATGTTAAACAGGACTAGATAAATCCGAAAGAGATTATGATGTTGAATTTTTAATCCAAAGGTGACAGTGTGGCACGCCTGAAAAGACTACTCGGTTTAGTCAGAGAGAGGGGGCAAAAATGGATTTTTATTTTAATAATAGAACGACTTATAAACTCCGACCGTTCAGATTTGCTTGAGAAATTATTTGAAATTCTCTATAAGACTTTATCAAACCTCCCAAAAAAAGGAATGAGACTTGAGCTTAGATGAAATATTAAGGACCGAAGATTCAATTCAACGCTGTATCTAAAAAAGTATGTCCAACCTTTATCTTCGCCAGAGCCTTAATCGGGAGCTTACATTTTAGATATATACATCACTTTCTCTGTCCCCCACTTCGTTTTCCCTCTCTAATCACTATGCGTATTACGTAACTCAGCCTTACTATTTAACACATTTTGACCTCTGACAGAAATAATGCTGAAATTTTTTTACCTTTTCATTTTATAATCAGCTTAGTGGCTGACTTTACAAAGATTGAAAATTTTATTCCATTGTAACTATCTTTCATCCTATGATCAAATTTGCATATTGCACCTTTTAAAGAACATCAAGGTTTGATTGATGGTAAGAAAAGTAAACAACGGTTTGAGTATTAATTCCTTTCCCATCTGTCACTTCTCATTGCTTTCTTTTGTGTTCAGCTTTATACTACTTACCACTAGTGAGTAGTAAGAGTTCATAATTGTTACTTCATAACAATGACATTCGATGTTGATATATATATATATATATATAATTTATTATTGTTTCCTTTAATTCCTAGAGGAACATAGGGCTTCAGCCGTGCGTCTCCATTGCGTTCGGTTCTCTGCTAGAGTTTTCACCTGGCTCCATGTCTGCCCACACGTTTTCATCTCTTCACATGATCTCCTCCGAGTCACCCTTGGACGACCAACTCGCCGCTTCCCGTTCGGGTTCCACTCAAGGGCTTGTCTAGTGATGTCACTTGATGGTTTCCTAAGAGTATGGCCAATCCATCTCCATTTCTTCCTGCCTATTTGTTTCACAATCGGTTCCTGGTTGGTTCGTTCCCAAAGATCCCTGTTGCTGATCTTTTCTGGCCGGCCATCTAATCTTGAGTATTGAGCGAAGACAGCTGTTAATGAAGGTCTGTAGTTTGTTTGAGATGCTTTTTATGACGCGCCATGTCTCTGATCCGTATAGTAGCACTGACTTCACATTGGAGTTGAAAATCCGGATCTTATTTTTGATGCTGAGTGCTGTTGACCTCCACACAGACTTGAGAGTAGTGAAAGCTTGTCTTGCTTTTCCGATCCTTGCTTTGATATCCTCATCAGTTCCGCCTGTAGTTGAAACGATGCTTCCCAGATAGGTAAAGGAGGTTGCTTCTTTCAGGTTCCTTCCATTTATGCTGATTGTTGGTGTTGTCCAGGAATCTTCATCAACTCTGTCTTCTCTATGTTCACCTGAAGTCCTATCTTCTCTGGATGCTTCTTCTGCCAACTTGTTGCTTTTCGCTTGCATATCTTCCAGTTTGTGGGAAATCAGACATATATCATCGGCGAAGTCCAGATTCTCCAAGTTTTTGTGTGAGTCCATTTTATGCCTGTTTCCTCATTGCCCGCTGTCTGTCGCATTATCCAATCTACTGCAATCAGGAAAATCATTGGCGATAGTAGGCAGTCTTGCCTTACTCCCGTCTTCACTTCGAAGGATTCCATAAGCTACCCGTTGTGGATTACTTGGCATGAAGCATTGTCGTACAACTGTTGGATGAGATGCATAATTATCGGTGGTACCCCGTAGTAGCGAAGTAGTTTCCAAATCACCTCTTGATCGACGCTGTCGAAGGCCTTTTCAAAGTCGATGAAGTTGAGATAGAGAGATGACTGCCATTCCAAGCTTTGTTCAATGATGATCCGTAATGTGGCGATCTGATCAATGCATGACTTGTTTCTCCTGAATATGATATGATATATGATATGCAGTAATTATTTTCTTCTAATTTGGTATCATCTGTTTATTGGAACCCCTTTATTCTTAGTTTGGCACTCGCGCTCTGTTTAATATGACCGTAGATCGCCTTTGGCACTTCTTTGTTGTTTTACTTACTAACTGCCAATGACTGCGCATTTGACCATACAGCTACAGACACCTCACATTTCATTACTTTACGTACACTATAGTACCGTATTCTAAGCAAATCCTGTGTTTCTGAATTTTACGCGTGACTAAACTTGTGGTTTAATTAATCGGTTGGATTATCGCTCAGGATTTCTTAGAAAACAACACTGATCTTATCAGTCAAATTTACTGAGACGTACGATCTCCACCTACTTTCACCACTACATCTTTCAGATTTGAATAACTGACAAAAAGAAGACATAACAAACGGTCTCTACAAAAAGACGATGAAAAGATGCCCTGTGAAATGCTTGAAAAAATATCTACACCAGGTAATAAGTGAATAAAAACGAAAAGTCCAATCTACCAGAAATTAAACTAAATTATTATAACATACTTTTCGATGAACCTGAGAGGATGACAAGTAAGATGCCCAACGTCTCAATACTTTATCATGCTCTTCATTTGATAGTGTACACTAAAAGAATACAAAGATGTGTAAAACAAAAATCTGTAATAAGGAAAATAACCTACAGTAAGTGCATGTTAAACGATTCCTGCACACCTGATGATACTTTAGTTTTATTTCCCCTATCGTTTATTACGAGAAGCAGATATCATGTCAATGCATATGATTCATATCACAGCAGAAATTCGAGATTATAACAAAATTCTTATGGCAGTATGTTACTTACTTCAGTGGTTAATATTCCCATTCCATGGGAAAGAATTAAAACAATGATATGTAACCATAATTTATCTCATTAGTCTGTTGTCAGACAAAAACAAATCACATGATGGGTATCAATCAGTTACAACCCAGCAAACAGTCAAGGCCTACTATTCAACCTTGTGACTGGATGAATATATAGCATATATTTTTGTGTCCTTTGATACTCTTTTCTCACTTATTTGGAAATACATGTTCCCTACCCTACCGTGTGGGTTTTCTGGATTTTACAAGTTCGGGTGAGGGAATCATTGACCAGGAAACTATCCAGCGTTTACTTTTGTACTTTAGCGTTCGTGTTTATACTCGGTGACATCAAAACATAGAGGCGGAAATGAAAAGTATGGATCCCACAAAACTGGAGTTATTATTAGAGCAACAAATGAGGTTAATGGAAATACTGATTAACAAACAAGTTAGTTCAACTTCACCATCAAGCACACCTATTCAGACCATTGCACCATCGGTCGACGGAATCGCAAATAGCATTACGCAGTTCAATTACGATCCAGATGCAAATGTCACTTTTGATACATGGCATCGGCGCTGCGAAGACTTATTCAGAGTTGATATTGTCGCACAGGACGATACTTGGAAGGTACAACTGTTGCTACGCAAGTTGAGTTCAGCAGGATATAACAGATATTGTAATTTGATTCTCCATAAAAACCCACGAGATAGGTGTTTTGATGATATAGTCATGCCGCTGAGTCAGTGTTTAACATACGATATCGCTGTCTCAAACTGGTAATGAGTGAAAATGATTTCCTATATCGTGTTGGTACAGTCAACAAACAATGCGAGAGATTTCGACTTTGGTCCTTAACAGATGACCGGTTCGAATCTCTCATCTTTATATACAGTCTTCAATCTCCCAAATTTACAGATATTCGAACATGACTGCTCAGTCAGCTAGAAAAAGTCCAAAGTTAATCCTACATGACATAGTTAACAAATATCAACCGTTGAGTAATTTACAGAAGGATACAAACCTATTCAAATCAGCGATTCCGAGCTGCGTGCATTACGGCAAATCAAAATCGCTCTGCATCATTCAATGCTGACCCAACTATTCCTAGTAGACCGCATGATTCCCGACGTTCTGGCTCAACACCACAATATGCTTCATAGAAGACTACACCTCAACAGCTCCGGCACTGTGGAACATGGCATTTTTTAAAGTTCTGTCCATACAATCACCATCCTTGCCGCAAGTGTAACATAATCAGTCATAAAGCTGAGTTCTGTCAGCCAGCCAAATAGAGATCAAAATCGAGCTGAATCTGGAATTACGAATTATAAACCAGCTGGAAGGTTAATGAGTTTACTGGTAACATGTCAAGTCACAACACCGAGTATACGGAAATATGTTAACATTAACATAAGTGGTCATGATGCACGACTACAGTTGAATAGCGCACCTGACTTTACTATCATTCCAGAAAAATTTCAGAACGATATGGACAGATTACCTGCTGCAAACACTTCATAAACTGTTGTCAGTACCTATGGTAGATGCTTTAAACCAGCTGGTGAAGTTGAATGCAGTGTGTCCCCCCATAATATCAGATTCACAGGAGTTTGTTACGTCACCCAAGGTGCTTTAAATTTATTGGGACTCGATTAGTCCAGTCGCTTACAACCAGCTGATGTCCCACTTAAATCTGTGTGCAATACGGTCATTACTCCTGAAAAATCACATGAGATAGCTACGTCTGACAGCAATATATATGATTATACAACTACTCGAATTACTGTTATATTTAGTGCAACAGAGCTTGCCAATACACAAGGTTCAACTTTTGAACAAGAAACTATGTCTTCATCAGATTTTAGTCGTTTATCCAGTCTGTCTAGTAAAGTTCCTTCATTCGATCCTACCGGAAATCATTCTTCTGCTCCAAGTTCTACTACATACTTGACATAGGATCGTTTTTCTTCACTTAATCCTCAAATGAATAGTGGTTCATTGAGCGCTGAATTTCAGTTAGACAGTCAGTCACGGAAGAAATGCGAGTTTGCTGATAAAAATCGAGATCCTTCATCGAATTCCCCTGCCCGCAGCCGTTGTTATAATAAGGACAGCTTGAATGAAATACTACCTCCATCTATTTCACTGAATTGCAGAATAAAAATCCATATTCAACTACCAATGTGGGTATTAAACAAAAAACATGAAAAATCTCCATCCAATAAAGATGCGACAGATCTACAACTCCAATAACAGGTGTTTGCTCAACAGCAGCATCTAGGAGTTATACAACAAGCCCAAAGTCAAATGGCTCAGCAAGCCATGATGCGGCTGGCGTTTCTGCTTGTGGTCGAACTGCAACTGTAGGAATATGCTCCGGTACTACTTCGCAGTTCGTGACTTTAGCACCAAGGACTCTTTTGATAGTTATAATATGAAAAAAGTAAGGTGACGGAGGTACATGATCATAAAAAGAAACAACTATATTTGTCAAGAGCACTTAAGGGGTATTCATCAACTCATGTTACTTTCAGGAAGAGAGAAAAGGAGGGAATTGTAGCACTTCGTCACTGGTTATGATTTTCAGCCATAACGGATAACGACTCGAGCCTCTGCTTATTTGAACTAGTTCTCGGACCCTACCCGGTCGGTCGGTCGATTTTCGACATAGAACTTTGCACATATGTGCGGCAGTTCAAGTCGCCACACTCCATGTAGCACACAAAGCAAGAGAAGAAAGTAGAAGAAATGCATAATATAGACAGTAAACAGAGGTGTGAGACAAAGGAATAGTAATAACGAAGAACAAAACAGTTTAATTGGAAATCATAAGCCACAAGGAGTGGATGCATCTGCGCCCTGCCATTGAGAACGATTTTGAGCCATGTCACCAATTGTTTCCAACCATTGGTTTTTACCGTCCCGAGGACCCCAACCAGTCAGGAAGTCTACACCTTCCTACGTGGCTTAGACTAACTGTTGTGGATTTCATTGACTGGTGCCATGTTTTCGTTTGACCGCCGCTAGCTCTTTTCCAGCCTGGCCCTATATCAGCTAACATTGCCCATCGAGGAAGGCGATGACTAGGCATACGTAATACATGTCCTAACCATCTCAGTCGATGTAATTTCACAGTTTCGTCGACTGATTTCCCCGCCTTACCTAGCACTCGACGCCTAACCTCAATATTGCTCACCTTATTATACCACTTCACGCGGGAGATAGAACGCAGACACCTATGATCGAACACAGATAATCTTTTCATGTCTTCTGCTCTCAATGGCCAGTTCTCACAACCATAAAGGAGGACGGAGCGGACTGTTGAGCAGTACACACGCCCTTTGGTCGATAGGCGGATATCACGTCTACGCCAGAGACGGCGTAAACTGGCATATGCGAAACTAGCCCTCTGTATTCCTGCTGAGATTTCGTCGGAGATCAACCCGTTGGGGTTGATGGTACTTCCCAAGTAAGTGAAGCGGTCAACGTGCTCTACCACTTCACTTCCTATTTGTAATCTAGGAGTCGGTGTAGTCCAATCCTGCAGCATCACCTTACATTTTACAGGGGCTAATCACATGCCAAACATACGAAGATTGTTGCTCCCTGCCCAGGGAGGTATTATGCAACAACAGATGTCAGTCTAACACAATTATTCACCATCCTGTAGCACCAAGACACGGGATGACCACTACCTTGTTTCTTTCACCCAATCCCAGCGCTAGCGAACAGTAACCGATATAGCAGCCGCCAGCATAATATTTGTAGTACATATCCAGGCCACAGAAGCTAATGTCTAAGATGACAACATTTACTGAAAGACAGTCTCCACGGTATCCAACACACACTATCAGATAGCAAAATTACCTACATTACGATGCCACTGGATGCAAGCGATTCTACAGAAATGTTGACGTCAGAACATGCAGAGTATCGGAACATCCTCAGCCAGGAGAGGCTAGGTTTCACAAACGTAGGGCAAAACTACGAACATCGAAGCATTGTAAAAAGGACTTTTGACGTCCAAGCTGAAGTTGCGATGGTTCTGGGTGTGACTCAAGTTGGTGTATGCCCCTTGACTTTCACCGGACAAAAAAGCTACACCAATTTATGAGGTCCTTATCTGTTGTATTATTTAGCTTAATAACTACGTTGCAAAACTGATGGGTGCACTTCAACCACACCCATAAGAAAACACCGTAATGGATCCAATATTTCAACAAGCAATCAGATGGCAATAAAAGCTCCTACAGACATGATTTGGACCAAAATGAAACAGACATACCTGCACTAGAGAGATGGTTCACATTATTTCTAACTCACAAGTAGGAAGATACTGACTTCCCAAAAGACCACGAAGTGACTGAAAGATACAGTTACAAACCCTAGGTCACTGGCACAATACCAACTTACCCCTAGTTTTCACTTAAACCATACTATTACCTTATCACTAGTCCTCTTTTATCGTTGTTTTATTATGTTATCATATTTCATCTTTTTTCAGGGGCAATGCGGTAGTTCCTATACTGTATATGCAGGATGGCTTAGTTACAAAGATTTCATTATTCTTCGCGATAACATATTCAGAACTAACTCCATAATGAAATGAGATTTCACATTTCTCCATGAGTAAAATAACCGTCTTTCCCGGTGATTCCGTGTTCGTTTGTCTCCAAGACTGTTCTCAACATTGTGTTCACCTGAATTGATATTAATCGTTTTGTTAACCTGATATTTATCTGTTTTACAATGTGATTAACAAGTTTGATTTGTATCAACACATCCGCTAAGTGCAGATGGGTTTTGTCCACATAGTACTGAATGAATTGAATATGTTGACTGAAGGGTGATATCTATTTTAAAATGTTTTGGTATTCTAATGGAAATAATCTTTATCTATGTTAGCAGGATTATCCTGCCAGTTTCAGATAACGATTCAGTGGTAGCCCATTTATTTGAAAAAAGATATCTTTTAAAGTTGTGTGGGGATTCGTTTTTATGGAAGACCATCACGATAGTATTATTTTTTGTTTGTTTTGCGGAATATTTAAGTGCAACCTCCTTTGTGCGTTGTTGGATTGTTGCTGCTGAAACTGAGTATTTGTTTTGTGTGTGTTGACTTTCTCTATACTCTTGTTTCTAGACTTCCTGTGTTTTGGTTACAGGAATTCATCATGAGCTGACATTAGTTAGAGAACCATTGGAAAACCTGGGAGTACTGGACAGCTGCTTCGTCCTAGTTTGGGACTCTTCATCAGTACGCACCCACCTGTGTTTTCCTTCCATACCGATATCTAAGAATAGAATTTTGTTGCCTGCTTTCGCATCACTTATCATCAAAAATGCTGTGGTGTACTTCCTGAATCATTTCTTCCCACAATGACGAATGTGTCGTCTATGTAATGTAACCAAACTTTGGTCTGATAATGAGTCGAACCACGGTTGACAGTCGTTTCTTAACAGCTTCAGCAATTAGCTTTGATATGGCCGGTCTTATAGCTGTCTTTTATCTGTTTATATCTTGGATATCTGGGGCAAAAATATGTTATGAGGCACAAATCTATGAGCTTTATATAATTTGAATATTGTATTTTTACGTATTCATCATTTGCCAATATTTTGGGAGTGAAACGACTGGTCGTTAAAATAAAAATAACTACTGATATCTGTGTACTCAAAGAAACAAACCAGAAATAATCATTCACTTTTAATAATGGTGGGAAAACGGAATATTTGTGTAGATAAACGTGTTTCCATTCATTAAAATTTATCAGGATTGTTGCAAAGCAAAAATATATTACCTTGGCCAACCAAATAGCACGATCCCACTGATCAAATGATTCCAAGTAGCGACATGCATCGATCTGTAGACCAATAAGGCATAACAAACCAATTCCTTCATTAATTCTTCCATTGGACAGTAAGTTAGTAGCGACCAATTTTACTGTACTTAAATAGGTATCCTCTACTGACTGATCAATACTAGGTCCTGATAAACAAGACTTTCTGGTGGCATTCGCAGCAAGTAAGCAAGCACGGTGCATATTCAAAGAATACAGATTCGAATCAACTGGAGTTTCCAGCAACAGATTAACTGCTCGATCTGGCTGACCTAAAACAGGAAAATTGAACTGTTGGTGAGTGACTGATAGAGCGAATGGAAACCGCTTTTCTGAGGTCACGGAAACAAGATTTTACGAATATCGCATGAGTATCAACACAAACCAATAAAGAGAATGGCAAAATGATTCGTGTCAGTAAGCCGTGGTCAATAAACATTTTTATTGAAATGTATAGCATGTATTCTGAAATGCAAACAAAGATTTCGAATTGTTCATCATGATTATAAGATGACAATAGAGAAAAATACAGCTAAATTTGTGATGGACAAACAGAATGAGTTCCATGTGGAAAAAACGTTAAGTGTTAACACAACTGTTGATTTGCACATGGAAACACCAACACAGAAATATGTTTGCTTCTAGTGAAATATCGTCTTCCATGTACAAAATATTTACACAGCAACATGCGATCTATAGAGAAAATGCAAGATAATATATTCAGAACTAATCATCTAACGATATACGATGATAAAAGACTGACAAGAAAGAAAATCTAGGTCTTCGAAGGAAACATAAAAAACTGTGACGGCGTTTAACCAACATAATGCATTTTAACAAACAGACTGAACAGTGATTATTACCTTCCTGTCTATCCCTATGTGTTTATTCGTCCATTCAAAAGTCGACAGGAAAACAAAGTGGAACGGCCAATACATGAACTTCCATAGCTGAGTTCCTTTGGGAAGAACCAGAAACCGGGTCCCTATCTTCAAGAATAAGGATTTGTACCAGTGGTACAATCGATGATGAACTGGAAAGACTCAGACAGGTCTTCAATCAAAATTGATACCATAAAAGATTCATCTCCAAAATATAAAAGTAAAGTAGCAAGTGGAAGGAATCTACACAGAGCCTAATGCCTAGCCATCGCCTTCCTCGACGGACAATGTTCGCCGACATATGGTCAGGTTGGAAAAGAGCCAGTGGTGGTCAAACCAAAACATATCATCAGTCCATGAAGTCTTTGACAGTTAATTTGAGTTAGCCACTGAGGGAGGTGTAGACTTCCTGATTGGGGTCCCTCAGAATGGTAAGAACCAATGGCTAGGGACAATTGGTGATATGGCTCAAAATCGTTCTCAATGGCGCAGATGCATTCACTCTTTGTGATTTACAATATCCAATAAAATTATATTGTTCTTCGATATTACTATTCTTTTCGCCTCATATCTCCGTTTATTATCTCTTTTTTGAATCGCTCCTTACTCTCTTCTCCTGCTTTGTGTGCTACATGGAATGTGGCAACTCGAACAGATGCACATCTGTACAGAGTTCTACATTGAAACCAGTTAGTCGTTGTCTTTGGATTTTTAATTTAAAGGTGATATCACGACTGACGTTTTGAAGAACCACCCACTCAGATAGTTGAAAAAACCAATATTCAATTGAACTATGGGTCAATTTGCGCAACAGGAGAATGATCAGAAGATGTTTGAAGGACCTATGCCACTTTGGGTCCCTTTAATGTGTTGGCGAATTCACTTGTTCCTGTAGAGCAAGTTATATATCGGCTGATTTCAACACTTGTGTATGGTGAAGACGACAGAGATTCGTCAACACAACCTCGAACTATGTACAGAAAAGGTTTGTTCAGTCTTATAATTCACCATGGTTTTAAACTCTTCTCTACTTGTTTGCTTTTATTTTTAGTAACTAACTTTTATCACTCTTAAATGTCTGTTTTGTACATTTTACTAACTTTTTTCCCAGTTTCTCCCCAATTACCAATGGACGCTCAACCATCTTGCTTCTCACCTAATACTACTTACTGTTAGATTTCAAATCCTTACTTCCTAATTCTCTTGACTGAATCGTCTTTTATTTTCATATGCTACCTCTGGTCCAAGTAAAATAGGAAGGACCTATCATAGATTTTCTGAAAAAGTGATGAGTCTACGATAAAGAAGAAGCACAACTCCGAACAGCACAGTCCCCCCCCCCCCTCATCGAAATGACACATGGCATCAAGATGATCAAACGTCTAATTCCTATAAAATTAGATGAGATTACTAGGAGTTTCAAAAACAAAGCCATAGTAGACATTTTAGCAGTGTTGCTTTCCCAATAAAATTCTCAATTTAGTTTATCATTAATTAAATGTAAATTTTAAAAGACTGATTAGAGAACAAAGAATGTTCTTTTCGATAACTTCTTTATCAGGTTTTATAGTTTTACATCCATAATAATTAAATAATGATTGTCACTGACATGTTTTAAATTACAGTTCAAAAGCATTAGTAAGTGGTAGTGTGCATAAATATAAAATTAAACTGAATGTCAGAGGAAATTAAGAAAATTAATACAGAATTTATATATTTTTAGGTTTCACAGCAAGCCAGGATAACATTAGTAGCTAAATCTACTTTTCTGTAGAAGAATGAAAGTTATGGAATGAAATACATAAAATTAAAATAAACTCATTTCGACCAAAGTACTTACCAATCATAAGAAGTGTGTCAACACAGACCATAGTTTCCATTGATGAATAGTGTGACTTTTCCATAAGTGATGTGTACTTTTCCACATTCTGACGATAGAGTTTGCAATCAGCTAAAAAATCCCACGATAAATCCAGAAAGTAACGAGACCATAACTCTTTATCACTTGATGAATTAGTAAAATTATTGACCGACTTTTTGCACAGTAAACGATTTGCAACTAATCGCCAAAACTTTACTTCATATACATCACTGAATAGTTGAGCAGTCCATAAACAACGTTCAATAATCGTGGTCCTTGATGGATTCATGAAACTGGTAACTAACTCACGTCTAAAATGTATGAGACGACAATATATGGAGTGAGCACAACACTGAATGCTAAAACGCAACATGAGAAAACTTAAAATGCAGCAACGAAGAATTAAAGCTAGTATAAACATACAAAATGTGGATCATGAGCTGGGTTTATCTATATTCACCAGAGTTTATTTGTAGGCTGTTAATTTCCAGAAAAAGAAAATAACTACGCAACGAGCTGATAATGAGTTAGGTTAGTATATATTGTTTAAATCAGAAGCAAGTTGGTCAGTAGAAACCGCTGGTGGGCATATAGCTCGTCAGATTGAAAGTTTGACTTTCAACTAAAGGGGTCCAAATATCATTCCACCTATTCCTTGAGTTTCGACAGATAAAACTGACCATAAAAACTCAAACACTAAGTTTGGCTCATAGACAGATACGTAAAATTCTTCCCGGTTGGTGAATTGCATAATTTACTCTGAGTTGAAGATCTTTATGAAACTTAGAAGCTAGAATTCTAACTCACAAACAGGTATTAATTAAGTCAATAGATTCGAACCAGTAATATGAAATTTCTATTGGCTTACTCGAGTAACAACTAACTCTTTCAATGACCCAATAATTGTCCAATATCATAATTTAAAATAACTTTACACAAGTTATGGGACAAGTACATCAAAGTCTGTTCAAAAAAATAATACATTAGGAAACATGGATAGCATGTCAAACTGAGACTCAACAAGTGCCTCATAAAGATTTTCAGTGACCATGTTTCACAACCGTAGCCGGACATCAGGTCTGTGCCACAAATGTGTGTTGGCAAATGCGCTTAGCATCCACACTTCATACGATAATCCACCATAAGGTTTTTCAATAGAGGTATAAATTCAAGCAGAGTTCCTTGATTAGATTTCTACACTTTCACAGTATTTCTATCACATCCCAAATTGCTATACCTCTCCGCCTTGATCAATCAAGTAAAATGCAACCTGGTAACACGGTAAGTATCAGACATAGGTAAACACGCGCCATGACCTATTGAAGAGTAAGTACCCCACAAATGTAACCTAGTCCAGGCCTCATGTCAAACGGCTTTATTTGTGTCAAGAGTCAATTAGTTTTTGTCGGAAAATGTACCTCAAGAATTTGAATACCATATCAGTCAAACTGATATTTCTGTAATTACCATGACTTATTCCCTTTCATATAAGCTAGGATGACTTGTCGAAACTACTTCAGATTTCCATAAGCTAACTAATAATTCAGTTCATCTAGTGAAGAATTCATCACTAACATCCTTAAAATTCCTCATTAGATCCTGTCGCTTCGCCTCTTGTAATGCCGGACAGAGCTCGAGGACCGATGTCTACATCTTAATCAACCTGATATTGGATGGTGGTCAGGTTTAGTGAAATGGTGTAACTAACACAAACATTACAGAAGTCTTTATTGTCCATAATAAAAATGAATTAGTATACAGTGCGTCGTTCCAGTAAAATTTAGTCGCCATACTCTTCAGTCTCAGAACCACATAAAATATCAACGAATACGTGATTTTCCATAAGAATTGCAAAATTCAGCGGAAACGCCCATAAAGGTATTTTCACTGTATAATTTACTTCAACCATATATATACATAAAAGATACTAATCTGAACAATCTACATATACGTTAAAATCTATAAAAATAAACTATGCAGAGTTAATATACTTTGTTGAAATACAAAAAATGCTGTTATTACTATTATTAGCAGAAAAACTCTCATGTGGGATGCTGAGCTCAGCAGGAAAGCAAATATTGATAGACCAAAACAATCAGCCACTTTACTACTGTAAAACAGTTCACCATTATTTTATGCGACACTGTATATTAAGTATACAGGCATAAATTGATCAAAATCAAGCATGAACCTCGCCTAGATTACTAGGTCACTAGTTTTCTAGCCGGTCCCAAGCCCGGATAAAGAGGGAGGGTTGGGGCGTGGTGCTAGCAACTCCACCCCCAAAACTTAACCAAATTGCTACTAAAACTTCAACGCACAAATATATTCAAAATTCTAAAATTACAATAATAATAAGCATGTTACAAGGTATCCAGTGTTGAGACATTACAATAAGGGAAAACCATCATTCGAAAATCGGAGAAAAATCAAATAGTAATCTACTGAAGGTGTAGAAAAAGGTATAACAACTACTAAGTACATCATATTATACTTTGTTATTTATACGTTGAGGAAATCTGTATAAGTGTGAAGAAAGATAGGTTTCTCCGGATTTCATCAGTCTATGTTGACAACTGCCTCCAGTAATAAACTTTCTTTAGCGAAAGTAAACGCACAACATTGGCTGTTTTCACTCAATAGTATGATAATGCAAAAGCGACATACTTATTACAGGCGCATCAAACAAAACATTTAGTTTCTATGACAGACGAATATATATGTAACTCACATCTAAAATTCGTCTGTCACCAGTTTAAAAGAGGCTAGGAAAATGAATAACTAATTCAACTGATTCACTTGTAGAACATATACCAGATATACATGCACGAGGTATCTGAATATCGATGTACGTTTACCGAAAGTAGAAACTATTCACTTCAGAAAAATTCTCTCGAACAAGTACACTGGGAATAAATTCAACCAAGATTAGACTCATCATTAAGATCATAAAAATTAGGATCGAAATTCTAAAAAACCTTTATTAACATACCTTGTCTTCATTCCATATAAAAAAATATTTACAGCATTCTGAATTTTAGCAAAGCCTGGAGCAAGTACAGAACACCTAGGAGAATGTAAGTTTATGGCTGAAACATCAGTAATTTTAGAGGAATGATAACTCGCTTGTTTCTGGTTTAATAAATCAAGATTGGGAAACTCTGCATTTGAAGACTTCGGTTCACAATCAGAAGTTATGTCAATTAGAAGATCGGTATCCATGACTGTGGGAGCTGTTTGGACCTTATCACACCACGGTTGATTTTGTAATAGGTGTCGGATATTTAAAGCAGTGATGGGTGGAAGTAGAGATGGAATTAAAACTGGATCTAAAAGAACCCAATGAAATATGCAAAGTTAACTTTTGAAGAAATTTTAAAGGAAGTCATAACAAAGAAAACTGAATTTAAAAAGCATACAAGCCGATAAACCATATAGTCAATGAATTGAGATTAAACTAATTCGTTGGTTAACTTTCACATTTCCTGTGACTGATACACAGTCTTTTTCACTGACTGGATGTAAACAACGCCAAGTTTGTCAGATAATGATATGAAGTCAAAAAAGTAAAAATAAACACAATACGCTAGCACAATTTGGTGCAGAACGATGTTTTAGTTGTAGTCTTATAACTTATATCTCAGTAGTCGCCATTCAAGATATAGAAGGTACATTGAAGTTAAAGCTGGTGACAATCTTGTTACAGAAACAACTGAATCAACCCGAATATTTAATTAATCAAATATAACGTGCCTTCTTGTTTCACTGTTTTCTTCAAGCACATCATTAATACTACTTTTATTGCTAAAACCAATTACTATGCCTGCTAAGATCTTTTGCTGACGAACTTCAAATCTTACTTAGTAATATTTGTAAAACACTCATAATTCCCGCCTACTTTAATTATGACAATTATTATTATTCATTCCTTCCCTTTGAAATAGAACATGGGGCTACAGCCACACACATACATTGTACTCTACCCTCTACCGTTAATTTCACCTGGCTCCGCGACTGCCCACAAACTTCCATTTCCTGTTCACAAAATTTCCATTTCACCCTCGAACGCTGTCGGGTACCTTGATCACCCCTATCTTCTCTGTGTTCACCCTTAGCCCACCGTAATCAGGAATATCATCGGTGACAGTAGGCAGTCTTGTCTTACTCCTGTCTCCATTTTCAAACACCGCCAAACTTTTCGTTGAGAATTACTTGGCATCCCATACCATCATATAGCTGTTAAGTGATGTTTGCATTATTGCTCTGCGTAGCGCTGAAGTCGTTGCTGAATCAATTCATGTTATATATTGTTGAGGGCTTTTCCACAGCTCACTGACAATCTAGGCTCTGTTCAAATATGATGAATAGAGTTGATATTTAATCCTCAGATGATTCGGCTATCATGAATCCTGCCTGTTCGGGGCGAAATCTTATACACAAAGCATCTTTTGGTCTTTGCAGGATGATGTGGCTTTATGTTCTGTTCAGGGTGGACAGGAGTGTGATTCTTCACCAGTTCTTGCGTAATCGTAAGTCGCCATATTTCGGGAATTCGACAAGGTGGCATTGCTTCTTTTCGGCAGTTTCCTCTGCTTTTCTCCACACCTTCTTTAGCAGTTTCATGAGCATGTTTGTTTAGGACTCTGGGTCCGTTTTCAGTGCCTCTGAATGGATTTCATCTGGTCCCTCTGCCTACTAACTCATACCCAATCGACATTTTCTAATGATTGATTTGTGACTCAATCCTTTTTTGACTCCCATCCGGTCCTTTTTTAACTACCTACTTTTTTATAAAGGCACCAAAATTGGCAATGACTTCTTAATTATTTCGACCGTAATTTGGTTAATAATACCACTTATAAAACAAATGTCTATATGTGAGAGTAAAACTCGTTCATTGTGGTAGATAGAATAAATTAATATCAGTAAAAAGTTTGAGCATTATGGATTAGATCAAATAAAGTATAATTATATTTTAATAGTTTACACACAATGATAAGTTTTGTTATTGGTAATTTTGCTCGAAATATTACCAATAACAAAACTTATCATTGTGTGTAAACTATTAAAATATAATTATACTTTATTAGATAGAATAAAGTTCCACATTTTAGAAGCACATTGGAGATTTTTTTTAAACAGTAATAAAATATTATTTATTCACTGATGACATTTCAAGCACTGTTTACTGTTTATAATTATATTCATTGAAGATACCCATTCAAAATTTCAAAGGCTAATTAATGAACAAAGAATACTCTTTTCGATAGATTTGTCATTAAATTCTACATTTATGTGACACTATGAATTTGAATAGATATTAATATAAACATGACTCATGAGAATTCATCAGTTTATATTTGCTGTTACTTATAATCATTTACTGTAGAATATTGGTACTCACTTTAGTGTTACAATTATACATATTACCACATACACATGTTTTCGACTATAATCTATTAACAATCTTTGCAAATTACTCGTTGAAATTTTGACCTCAATGATTCGATGTTACTTTTCAAAAACACTAATGTTAATATCAATATACTTCATCATTATGGATATACATATATAACTGTAAAACCTGATGACGAAGTCACCGAAAAAATTCTTTGTTCAGTAATCAATCTGATATAACAGTAATAATTAAAGAAATATTGTTATTCACAAAATTAATGCTTCGAAATTACATCAAAACAATAGTATCGACAGATTACATTTCAAAAGCATCACAAAGCGATAATAAGCGATAATATAACACTTAACAAAATATCATAAAAATTGAGGGAAGTGACACAGAATTTATAAATTTATAGACCCAGCTTGGCTGGACCTGTTTCTTTTCCACGCAGAGCCCAGTCTAATTTAAGCGAATTGAAATGGCCTACGCTGTTTGAAGTGCTTCGTATACAATGGCCTTTGGCAATTGATTCGGTATTCGATGTGATAAAAAAACACTCTGTGGTTTAAGTAAAAAACTTGGGCACTGTGGTAGAGTAAAACTCCATTATGGATAAGATTTAATTTACCTTATTTATTTATTTTATTGACATGTGACGTTTCGAGCACAATTTATTGCTCATAATCATATCAAGGTACTCACACAACTGTCTAACTTCCTTTATATAGTCCCATTATTTGTCACTGCTTGATTTGATTGGTAGTAGTGTTTTCCATATTTCCTGCATGAGTGATGAGTCACTTCTATTGCATGTGTTGGGTGTAGACTCGATGAACCAGGATTCGGTAATCAATCTCTCTCTCCACCTACCTATATTACTTTTTAGAATTTTAACCCTCTCTCACCCTATTGTGTGGCTGTGTGTCAATGCATGCAGTACTATTGCTGAGTTTTTTTTCTAAATTACTTATCTTCGTGGGGTCAATCGACCTAACCTTAGCTAAATTCGTATGTTCTGATAATCTCACTACTCCTGATCCACTAGTTTGACCTATGTAGTTGACCTCAGTCATTGGAAAGTATTTTGTAAAATGTATTATTTTGTTTAATTCGATCCACCGGGTCTTTTGGCCTACAGAGCTTGTCTCTGAGTGAGTTTTTAGGTTTGAATGCCACGTTATTTCCTACTTTATTACGAAAACAACGTAGGGTCTCAGACATCCCCTTCTAATATGGCAAAACTGAAGATGCCTAATATTCTCTGTTATATATTCTATTATTATTAGTTTAAAACAATTAGTTCCCTTTATGAATTTAGATAAAGCAACAAGAAGATGTAATTTGTCTGAATCGTGTAATGTATTTGCGCAACACATTTCGAACAATCTGATCACACACGGAATTGTCATAGCAGAGGTAATAGTACCTCTGCTATTTGGTTTAGTGGTCTTCATTGTTATTTTGACCCTAAATATGCCTTTTTAACTTGACCTAAGTCTATTTTCTCACCTCTTACCTCTTTATTAATTTCATATATATTCCTATGACAAGTTCGTGTGTGATCAGATTGTTCGAAATGTGTTGTGCGAATATATTATTAGTTTAACTACTACTTTTTTTTGCTTTTGAGCTTTTTGATCTTTCTGATCAATATTTTAGGATAAGTTATTTAACACTAACGCTTCTTCTATATGTTTCATTTCATCATTTAGGTTTTTTGTTGTACTACTCAGTGTTATCGCTCTGTTTATCAGACATTTAACTAAGCCTGCCTTTACAGATAACGGATGAGATGAATTAAAGTCTAAATATCTATGCGTTCAGGTTATCTTCTTCCGTTCCTTTTATTTTACAGCCCAACATAGCTAATTCTCCTTGTTCATTTTCTGATTCGAATGTAAATTGTATTCCCTCCACTAGTGAGTTTATATGCGTCAAGAAGCTAGAGATATGTTCTATTTCTAACACCGTAAAAGTGTCATCCACTTATCTACACGATATTTTTGGAGTAGGATTAAAAGTATTTAGAGCAATATTTTCCTAGCTGTCCATAAAGATGTCTGCTACGATAAGGGATATTGGTAATCCCATCGCTACACCATTTGTTTGTCTATATATTTTGCCCTGGAATTTGAAGACAGTAGATGTGAGGCATAACTGAATTCCAAAATAGTTTTGTCAATGGACAGCTTTGTCCTATGACTAAGTTCGGAATCAGAAGTTAGTTCCCTTTTAACTGCTTCTAAGGCCATATTGATCGGTACGTTAGTGTACAGACTAGTTATATCAAAACAGATCATTGTTTCATTATTCTTTAATTGAATGTTATTTAGTTTCTTTTTCATCAGTTAATATTACTTACTGTATAACACTGTGTGCTTTATCAAAACTCTGTGGTCTGTTCGGACGAGATGATACTTTTGAAATGTAATCTATCGACGCTATTGATTCAATGTAATTTAAAACACTGTTGTTTCAAAAACATTATTTCTTTACTGTCATATAAATGTAGGACCTGATGACGAATTTATGGAAAAGAAGAATATTCTTTTTTCATTAATCAGTCCTATAAATATATCATATTCTGAACATCCTATTTCCGAAGTTCATAAGAATATTTTCTTCTTAGTGTAGTTATCCTCGCTGATGATTCAATCTTCAAATCTTTTGTCTGAATTACAACAGTACCTACATGTCATTATATATAGTATTTCAATAAAAATACTGAATAAATTAAAAGTAGGTAGATGTTTATAAATAGTTTCGATATATGCATTTATTAAATACAAAGTCCTGCTAAAAGCTGCCAGCTCTCTCTAAAATTTTCTCACATGTTTATCGAGTGGTCAGCGATTTAAAATAGCCATTCACTCTGTTGTAACTGACATCTCAGTGCTTGTCTCTTCTAGTATTTCACCTTTATTCAAATCAAATTACTACTTTCAATGTTTATTTGATGAAATATTTCAGCAGAATCTCCAGTAGATATTAGTAGAAACCTTCAAAGTTGCAGATAAGTCTTGCTGAGGAGTGCCAACTAGCATGAAACCTAGGTCCAAGGCTTCCTGCTGATCGCCTCTAACCATCTAATATCATCAATTCAATGTGCACCGTGATGGCTACCTAGAATGGTGGCCACATTGCAAACCTGACTGCACAAAAGAAAGGACTAGACACATCACACTAGTTACTAGTGTCCAGTCAAAGTATTAGTAGAAACCAATAAAAATAATAGCGTGTTGATACCTCGATGAAAGTAGTGTATATCGGTCCAACCTCAGCAATAAGTCCAACTGCTAGAGTAGCTGAAACACACGCCTGCAACCTGACTCAACTATCACTCTCTTTGAATTAATTTTTCCTCACTCATCTGAATCTACCTTGAAGTGCTATTATCTGCATATCCATTATAGTACTTCCAGTTCATTTTTTTAATTTAAAGAACCTTAGGGTACTTACTGACTTATTTGTTTCACCATAAATCTTTCTGTAATTAAAATTAATTTATAAAAAATGTTAGAAAAATTTCACTTAAAAAGGTAACTACATGAATGACTCCAAATATTACCTTGAATTTCAGGTCTATCTGGTAATGCACTTTTTATGTAAAATTTGGATATTGGATCGTGTAATGTGGTTCCTCGAGTAATCGAACCTCCTGAATTCGCTAAGTGATTATGATGACCAACTACTGTCATCTCATAAGTGGCTTGACCAGCTTGTACAAGTCGCAAAGCCCCATCTCTACTCAAAAGTATGCATAAAGCTTTATCAGAAGGCTTTGAAACAGTGGAAACCCAATCTGCACTAACCAAAGAACGATGAACCGATCCAGTAAACTCAATCATACATAGAAGCAGCATCTGAAAAACAAATTCACACATGAAAATTTATTGTGAGGAACTAATTGTGTGAAAAACGACCATGAAAACCATACTCAAATAGGAATCTCCTTCGCTAAACATCCACCAACGCCCACATAACTACCTGGGAATGCCAACTGACTTACCGATTCAAACTCTTCATACGCTCGTGTCATTCCTGTAAAACATACCTCAAAACTTGACATTACAATGCATAATTCCCACTTAAAGATGCTGATCACCAACTGCTTAACTGCGACTCAATGTTGAATATCTCTTCTTCAGACAGATCTGCATCACCATAATTCTTTACAGAATGTAATATGAAGATGAAATCGGGCCACTTTTATTAACTCAAAATAGGCAACAGATTGAGTGAAGAAATATCTTCCTTTAATGTCAGTAAAAAGTTTGAGCATTGTGGAATAGATCAAATAAAGTATAATTATATTTCAATAGTTTACACACAATGATAAGTTTTGTTATTGGTAATTCCAATAATTCCAACCGTGGTGTGAACACGGGCAGAAATTTCGCTCGAAATATTACCAATAACAAAACTTATCATTGTGTGTAAACTATTGAAATAAAATTATACTTTATTTAAATATATTTCTTTTCAATTTGTTCCTCATCATCAGCTCTACACTGATATACAGTTTATTTACAATTTTACTAATCAAGTGGTTATTTTAGTTAATCAGTTTTAGGCATAGGGAGGTGAAAATAAGACATTAAAAGTCATCAATTATGTAAGTGTAGAACTTGGGCACTGTGGTAGACTGTAATTCCATACTAGATAAGTTTATTTTAATTATCATATAGTGATGCAGTATTAACAACTGGATGACGTTTTGAGCAAAAATTATTGCTCATAATCATATCATATTGACAAACCCACTGGTCTGCAGTATAAGTAAGTGTCCAGGCGACTGATGGAGGATGAACACTTGACCAATGAATTTCGATGAAAACCAACCTATTTCACATGAACTAGGTTCACAGCATCTTTCAAAGTCTGTGAGGTATGATGGCAACTAATACTTTCTATCTGAATGTTAAGAGAATAAAAACCTGGTAACTATCACATGTGGCTCACTGAATTAATTATCCGATTTTCAGCGGAAATTTCTTTGGTTCGAAACCCATTCGACTTACTCTAACCTGAGCAACTGAGTAGTACGATCATCTATCACACATTAAATATTCTTTAGAGCCTGGTACACGAAGGATATGTTTCGGACAAGTTAGTTCAAAGAGGAAAGCTGCTACATTCACTAAACAGGCTTTGTTTTTTTACTTGAATCCCACTCCTCTACATAAAAGAAGATCAAGGTAATATGTCAGGGATGGATGCCGTTCGGAATTCTGTTTTATCTTCGTTGCTGGAATCAGTACTAGACGACTTTGAAACACTACGTTTTAGAGAAAGCAAGTATCATACTAGAAATAAGCTAAATTGGATTCAAAAGTTTTCCATCTAGTATACTAAGCGTTTCTGACGGTTGACAGCTGACAAATGTTTCACACGCTAATTTATTAACAATGGGCTACTAGATAGCAGTGTTTCAGATAAGCTGGAATGGTCTTCAGCAAAAACAGACGTTATTGCAATAAGCGAAAATCAATGCACGAGGTAAGTGCGCAATCAAATCAGGTTAATAATATGGTGATAAATGTCTGGCTTGGAAATAAGCCTGTCACTTGTATTAAAGGAGGGAAGACAGACAACCAATGGAATATCTATTCTCACACCTACGTTGATGGGCCAAGGCTACATGATTTTTTCTTTGTTCTATAATGCATATTCATATATATACCCCTTAGTAGATGTACTTCTCGCTTAAGTAGTGGGCTGGGAAAATCGATTAACTGTTGTGAACAAGTGATATTTCGTGATTACCATGGCTGAGTCCATCTCAGTATCCCTATTCGACTTCAACATTACCAAAATATAAAAGTTAAATACAAACGTTCAATACGGTTCAATCTTTCTTCGACGTAATTTCGGATTTTAGATATAAATAACTCCCAAACCGTATTACTTAGTTATATAACTTCGCTATAACATATGTGATAGGATCCCACACACTTGTTATTGTTCAATTATCTTAACGACTGTTAATCCCGTATAAGTTGTATATTATCATTTCTCACGCATATTGTTATTGTTCAATTATCTTAACGACTGTTAATCTCGTATAAGTTGTATATCATCAATTCTCACACACTTTGTTATTGTTCAGTTATCTTAATGACTGTTAATCTCGCATAAGTGGTATATCATCATTCCCACGCATTTTGTTATTGACTATTACGACCAATTATTTCAAATACTGTTAGCTGTCTCTATTGGTTGTAAAATTGTATAAATACCATTTCCTAAATAAGTTTATTGTCGTTGTGTTTTGTGTCGTTGTCGTTGTTGTAGTCGTCGTCGTAGTCATAGTTGTTGTACTACAATACACAGTCAGAGACCAGACTTTGTCTTTTGATATTTGCGTGGTTCGCTGAATCGGAAGGTACCAGAAGCAGATAGGCATATTAATCAGGCGCAGACAGAACTAGGCGACAACGTACCTCATTTTAATTCCCGCTACAGTTACAACAAATTGGCGACGCGGTTTATCTCAATTCATTGCCATTATAACAATTGGCGACGGGGTTTTACTTTAATTCACTGCAGTTATAAAAAGCAAGCGACGACGTGTTTTATTCTGTTCAGCGCAACTATAGAACATTTTTGACTGTGTTAATCACAACCAATTACAATGTCTATCTCTCTGGACGATCTCAAATCTATCTTGCAGCAGCAGCAACTTCAGAATGAAGCAGCTCAACTGAAATTAATCGAAGCTCTCACTCAGAAGCTGTCAATTCAAGTCCCATCAACATCTCATTCAGAAAAATACGAAAGCATCTCAAATTCCATCAGTGAATTCAACTACGACCCAATATCTGGTCTCCTATTTGATGCATGGTTCAATCGTTATGAAGACGTTTTTCGTATTGAATGCCACATGTTTGATGATGCTGCCAAAGTCCGATTGTTACTACGAAAACTTGGTACTGTTGAGCACAACAGATATGTTAACTTCATTCTGCCTAAGAACCCACGTGAATTATCATTCGATGAGACAGTCACCGTTTTATCACAAATCTTTGGTGAACAGTCATCCATGTTTAATATTCGGTATCATTGTTTTCAGTTGACAAAAATGCCTTCCGATGATTATGTTACTTACGCTGGCAAAGTGAACAAAGAATGCGAAAGGTTCAAACCACACGAAATGACATCAGATCAGTTCAAGTGTTTGATTTTTATTTGTGGGTTGAAGAACCCTGAAGATACTGACATCAGAACTCGACTTCTGTCACTCGTGGAACAAGACCCAAAAATGACTTTACAAATGGTGACAGCAGAATGCCAACGCTTAATCAACTTGAAGCACGATACTGCTATGTTGGAGTGCAAACGACAGTCGTCTGAATTTGATTCAGTTAACACAGTGAAAAGTCCCCCGATCACCGTTAAGCACACAGCACGTCAGTCTCAGAATTCAGCTAAACCTCCTTCAGTGTGCTGGCACTGTGGTTCGTGGCATTTTGTCAAGTTCTGTCCTTTCAAGAAACATAAATGCCGTAATTGTCACCGTTTTGGACATAAAGAGGGTTACTGTACACCACAGAAAAATTCTTCGGTGAAGAACAGAAGTCGTCATTTCAAGCCGAAACAATCTCCTCGAATACAGACCGTTTTCACAACTTCCAAAGTCAATTTCGCCAGCAAACGTAAGTACATTACACTACGTATTAACGGCAAATCTATTCGTCTTCAGTTGGATACGGCATCAGATATCACTTTAATTTCCCGAACTACGTGGCGCAAACTTGGGTGCCCACAGATTCTGCCGACCGAGCATGTCGCTAAGAATGCCTCTGGAGATATACTGAAACTCGTGGGTGAAATAAATTGCCAGGTTCAGTTTGGTGAGAATCAGTTCAATGGTGTATGTTATGTCACAAACTACCATGATTTGAATTTGCTTGGTCTTGACTGGTTAGACAAGCTCCATTTCTTCAATGTACCATTAAATTCAGTATGCTCTAATGTTTCGTCCTCACCAAATAATGTTGTTCCCGCACATGTATCTGATCAGTCTCTCTTGCAACGCCTACGTCAAAAGCACGCTTCTGTTTTCCAGGACAAACTTGGTTGCTGCAAATTCGTCAAAACCTTTAAGCGTGCTTATGCAAAAACGAAGGGGGAGGGAACAACAGAAGAAATTTTGGATAGATCCTTGCTACATTATCATCGTACGACGCCAAATCCTTCCACAGCCGAAAGCCGGGACGCAGATCACAATCTATCCAGTACGCGAAAGTCAACTCGACAAAGAAGAGCTCCAAAACCTTTTCAAATAGGTTCAAAAAGCAAGTCCTACACTTTTAACGGGGGGAGGTGATAGGATCCCACACACTTGTTATTGTTCAATTATCTTAACGACTGTTAATCCCGTATAAGTTGTATATTATCATTCTCACGCATTGTTATTGTCAATTATCTTAACGACTGTTAATCATAAGTTGTATATATCATTCTCACTTATTTATTTAACGACTGTTAATCTCGTATAAGTTGTATATTATCATTCTCACTTGTTATTGTCATTATCTTAACGACTGTTAATCTCGTATAAGTTGTATATCATCAATTCTCACACACTTTGTTATTGTTCAGTTATCTTAATGACTGTTAATCTCGCATAAGTGGTATATCATCATTCCCACGCATTTTGTTATTGACTATTACGACCAATTATTTCAAATACTGTTAGCTGTCTCTATTGGTTGTAAAATTGTATAAATACCATTTCCTAAATAAGTTTATTCGTCGTTGTCTTGTTGTCGTTGTCGTTGTCGTTGTTGTAGTCGTCGTCGTAGTCATAGTTGTTGTACTACAATACACAGTCAGAGACCAGACTTTGTCTTTTGATATTTGCGTGGTTCGCTGAATCGGAAGGTACCAGAAGCAGATAGGCATATTAATCAGGCGCAGACAGAACTAGGCGACAACGTACCTCATTTTAATTCCCGCTACAGTTACAACAAATTGGCGACGCGGTTTATCTCAATTCATTACGGTTATAACAATATGACTGGTCACTCCATACAGTGATGATAGTGGATTGATTAGTGTTTTGATATGCTTGGATACCGAAGTGGTGCAACTTATTATTATTCCCATGGGTTCCGAGTGGAACACAGGGCTTCAATAGCACGTCTCCACTTAATCCTGTTCTCTGCAACCCTCTTCAGCTGGCTCAACAACCGCCTATTGGCTCTCATCTCTTCCTCACACGATCTCCTCCATGTCATTCTCAGATACCCAAATAGTCATTTCCAATTCGGATTCCACGAGGGTATGTCTAGTGCGTGATTTCACTCAACGGTCTCTTCAGTGTGTGTCCTGTCTACCTCCATATCCTGGGTCATATTTCTTAGGCGATAAGGTTTCGGTTAGTCCGTGGCCAGAGTTCCTCGCTGCTAATTCTTTCCGGCCATCTGATCTTCAGTGTCAAGTGAAGGTAGCTATTGATAAAAGTCTGCAGTCTGTTGGTGATGCACCAAGTCGCTGAACCACTTAGACTCAAACCTTGAGGCCCATGGGATTTGAACATGCTCCACAAAATTCAATCCGATGGTCGATAGCCTTTAAAAGCCTAGCGAATGTCATCATCTAGCATATCGACGTTTACGCAGTTACTTTCGTTTTTATTCCAGTCAAGCGTCATAAAACGAGATAGAAAATAAGACCAACTAGTTATATGAAAGTACTGAAATGAATGGGAGTTAGATCCTTGAAAAATGTTATTTAAACTTTGACACATAGAATGTCAACAAGCACAATGCACAGACATCTTTGACTACCATTTCGTTGACTTTCGCCATGAACTTAAAATCTATGTCCTGCTTCCACACACCTAGCAATAACCCAATTTTCTATCATATCTCAAAAAGAATTTATGATTCTTTACATATCATTTCGCACCGATGAGTTGTTAGACATAACCAAAATCTGATTTTCACCTTAGTCAAAGTGGTAGGTCAATTTATTCTAACTATAGATCACAGAACAATCAGAATACGGATTTTAAATGAAACCTGAATATAGGGCCTATAAAATTCAAAAATGTAGACTCGACTCACTTGTCTTGGTTCCCATACGCATACAGAATCAAACTGTAAACTAAGTAGATGAGTTAAGCTGGAAAAACCTGGCGTAAAACATAAATGCCGAATTGAAGGTAGGACACTACAAATATTACTATCCAGCATTATGTCTGGATCAAAATATTGTTCATTCAAAGTTCCAATAGCCTGATCAAGGTAATTTGACTGAGAAGTTGGAATAGTTGTTCTAAACAGCGTTCTCTTGCCATGTAAATCTCGAACAGCTACAAAGCCATCAGAAGTACCAAAAGCGACCAAGTCAGAAAACCAAGCTACGGTATTTATTCGATTTAAACTGACAGCCGGTAGACCACTCAAGCTACATTTTGACAAATCAGGACGGAAGGATAATATCTTATTAATCACCAAACAAATACAAATGTAATAAACCACACAAGATTATATTTTAGTATCAAAACGTAAAGCCACCGATTTTTCCTATACTACTATAAAATCAAATCTGGCGAAGAATCACGTAAAACATTCAGAAGTTAGCAATAACAGAGAATGAATGAAATACCTAATAGCGAACTCTAATAGAGACATATTATTATTCCCATGGGTTCCGAGTGGAACACAGGGCTTCAATAGCACGTCTCCACTTAATCCTGTTCTCTGCAACCCTCTTCAGCTGGCTCAACAACCGCCTATTGGCTCTCATCTCTTCCTCACACGATCTCCTCCATGTCATTCTCAGATACCCAAATAGTCATTTCCAATTCGGATTCCACGAGGGTATGTCTAGTGCGTGATTTCACTCAACGGTCTCTTCAGTGTGTGTCCTGTCTACCTCCATATCCTGGGTCATATTTCTTAGGCGATAAGGTTTCGGTTAGTCCGTGGCCAGAGTTCCTCGCTGCTAATTCTTTCCGGCCATCTGATCTTCACTGTCGAGTGAAGGTAGCTATTGATAAAAGTCTGCAGTCTGTTGAAAATGCTTTTGGTGACTATATAGAGGGGCTGATTTGACTAGTGTTGGAAATCCGAATCCTGCTCTGCCAACTTGTTGGTTTTGGTTGATACACCTCCAAGTTTTTATGACAGACAAAAATCGTACGCAGAGCCTAAACTTCCTAGCTTCTTCCCGTTAGTTCAACGTTTGCCCGTTTTCTCGCTTTCCACGGTGTATTGCACGATTCAGTCCACCACAATCAGGCATATCGTCGGCGATAGTCGGCAGCTTTGTCTCCCTAATGCTTTCACTTCAAAGGCTTCATTGAGCTTTCCATTGTGATTCATTTGCATGTGGTATTGTTTTATCGCTGCTGAATGGGGTTGATAAAGATTTGGGGCACCTATGAGTGTTGAAGCGGTTTTCAAATTACTTCACGGTCGACACTTTTTGAAAGTCGATGAAGTTGAGGTAGAAAGTTGACTGTCTTCCTATGCTGCTTGATGACGATGTGTAGAGTAGCCATTTAATACTAGGTCATTTGGTTTTCCTGAATCCAGCTTGTTGAAGGCGAAGTTTCACATTCGGTGCATCTTTTTATCTCTCCAGAATGACGCAACCTAATATTTTGCTCAGGATGAACAGAAGCATGATTCCGCACCTATTTTCTCAAAGGCTTAAGTGGCCCTTCTTTGATAGTTTTATAAGGTAGCCTTTCTTCCAATCAGCAGGTATCTTCCCTTCTTACTAAACCCTCTGCAATAATGGCGTGAGCATGTCAACTGTAGTCACTGGATTCGTTTCCTGTGCATCTAGAGGAATTCCGTCCAGTCCTGAGACGCTCCAGGCTGGCTTACATAGCATCCAAGACTTTTGCTTTCGCCAGAGGAGTGGTGTGCACTAGGAGTTCCGTGGCTATTGACACGGAAGTGAATGTGATTTGGTTGATCATATCCAGGAACTCCTGCTGACTCATCTGATAACAATTCAAAATATTCATCCTGTTCGACATGAACCTTAATTACAAAAAATACTATGGATACAAATTAATTTACATGTAAACCAGTGAGAAAATATTCAACTCATAATTCATAGAATTTTTAAAACAAACAATACATTTTATAAGCATATAAACCCATAGAAATAATCAGAATAACGTAATAGACAGAAATAACTGAAGTGTAATTAAGACTTTCAACCTCGCCTAGATTACTAGCTCACTAGTTTTCTAGCCGGTCCCAAGCCCGGATAAAGAGGGAGGGTTGGGGCGTGGTGCTAGCAACTCCATCCCCAAAACTTAACCAAATTGCTACAAAAACTTCATCGCACAAATATATTAAAAATTCTAAAAATACAAACAATGACCTTATTTTTCGCTGGAATCGGGGAAGTGAAATGACGCAGGCTGGTGAAAGCCTTCGGGAAGCCAGTCAGCCGATGTGCCTTCTTTCGATGAAAGCAAAAATAAGGATGGGGACGTGAAATATTCGTACAATGTACGAAACTGGAAAGGCTGCTCAGGTAGCCGCAGAAATGAGGAGATATAAAATAGAAGTGTTGGGAATCTGTGAGAGCAGATAGAACGGATGTGGAAGGAGCCAACTACCAACTGGAGAGACAATAATCTACTCCAGTCACCCAGAGGACGATCACCAGCACACCGAGGGAGTAGCCATCATGATGTCACCAACAGCAGCTAAAGCTCTCATGCAGTGGAAACCAATCTCCTCCAGGATAATGACAGCCGGGTTCAACTCAAAAGGAAGGAAGGTTACAATCATTCAATGCTATGCGCCTACAAACGTCTCAGAACAAGAGAAGAAGGAGGCCTTCTACAGACAACTACAAACAATAATGGACAACGTCCTAAATGGCGATATCCGAATCCTGATGGGTGATATGAATGCGAAGCTGGGAGGAGACAATACAGGAAGAGAACTCACCAAGGGTCGCGAGGCTCTCGGCGAAATGAACGACAATGGTGAACTCTTCTCAGACTTCTGCGCCTTCAATGATTTGGTGATTGGTGGCAGTGTGTTCAAACTCAAGGATATACACAAGGCAACATGAATTTCACCAGATGGACACATCAAAACCAGACAGACTTCATTTCAATCTCAAGGAAGTGGAGACGGAGCCTACTGGACACAAGGTCGAGGAGAGGAGCAGATGTGGGTTCAGACCACTATCTAGTACAAGGGACTTTCAAGGTGAAGCTAAAAGCCTCGAGGATAGCTGGGGATAGGCCACAATGCAAGTTCAACACCCAAAAACTGAAGGACACAATCACAAAGGACATTTTCACTGCAACTGTCAGAGCAAAGCAGGAAAAACTACGTGGCATCACTGAGGAATCATCCGTGGAAGACCATTGGAACTCTCTGAAGGTAACTTTCAAAGAAACGTGTTCAACGGTTTTAGGAAGAAAGAAGAAACAAGACAAGGAATGGCTCTCAACGGACACTTGGAGGCTAATAGAGGAGAGGAGAATGATGAAAGAGAAAATGACTCAATGCAAAGATGGACGAGAGAAAGAGACGCTGAGCTCAACTTACACAGCAGTGGACAAAGAAGTGAAGAAGAGTGCCAGGAAGTACAAAAGACAATTCTACGACAACCTGGCCACTGAAGCTGAGAAGGCAGCAGGCAAAAGGGACCTGAGGACACTATATCAGATAACCAAGTCTTTATCCGGGAAGAGATCAACACAAGTGAGACTTATAAAAGACAGCCAAGGGAACCCAATTACCAAGGAAGAAAGACAGATTAAACAATGGGCGGACCACTTCAAAGGACTCTTGAACCGACCACCACCTACAACCCGTCCAGTAATACCAACAACAGCACGTACACAACTGCAAGTTGACACCAATCCTCCAACGAAAACTGAAGTCTTGAATGCAATCAAGCTTCTGAAAGCTGGAAAAGCAGCTGGACCAGATGGAATACCCCCGGAAGCACTGAAAGCGGACCCGGAGACGACAGCAGATATGCTGACTCCATTATTGCAAAAGGTATGGAAGGAGGGAAAGGTGCCTACTGACTCGAGGAAAGGTTACCTCGTGAAACTACCAAAGAAGGGCGACTTAGGACTCTGCAAGAATCTGCAAGAAATCATGCTCCTGTCGACGCCAAGTAAAATCCTGACTCGCATCATCCTGGAGAGAATAAAGGATGCACTGGATACAGAACTCCGACCAGAACAAGCTGGATTCAGGAAAGGCAAATCACATTCTGACCAAATTGCAACTCTACGCATCATCATCGAACAAAGCATGGAATGGCAATCAACCTCAACTTTATAGACATTGAGAAGGCTTTCGACAGCGTTGACCGAGAAGTAACTTGGAAACTACTCAAGTACTATGGTGTACCCCAAATATTCATCAACCTTATCCAACAGCTGTACGACAACAGCACATGTCAATTGGTCCACAACGGAAAACTCAGTGAGGCGTTTGGAGTAAACACAGGAGTCAGACAAGGGTGCTTATTATCACCAATGATATTCCTAATTGTGGTGGACTGGATTATGTGTCAGACAGTGGGAAACGAGAAGACAGGGATATCCTGGACCGACGTGAAGAACCTAGAAGACCTGGATTTCGCGGATGATTTATGTTTGATATCACACAAAATCGAAGACTTACAAGCGAAAACCGACAAACTGGTCGAAGAAACAGCAAAGACAGGACTCCAGGTGAACATAGACAAGACGGAGGTTATGAAAATAACCAACCAACAACAACAACAGCATCAGCAACATCCGGCGCCAATCACCATCCACAGGAGGGATTCGAAAGAGGTTACTTCATTCACTTATCTAGGGAGCATTGTCTCAAATACAGGAGGAACGGACGAGGATGTCAAATCGAGAATCGGGAAGGCGAGAAACACATTCATCAACCTGAAACCAATCTGGAAATCTTCGTCACTCAGCATCAACAACAAAATTCGGATTTTCAATACAAACATCAAGTCACTTCGTCTATACGGATCAGAAACTTGGCAGGTCACAAACAATATTTCCAACAGGTTGCAGACCTTTATCAACAGCTGTCTTCGTTCTATACTAAAGATCAGATGGCCGGAAAGAATCACCAACAAGAAACTATGGGAACAAACGAAACAAGAACCAATCGGCCAACAAATATGCAGGAGAAAGTGGAGATGGATTGGAAACTCGCTGAGGAGGCCGTTGGGTGACATCGCGCGTCAGGCCCTAGAGTGGAACCCGAAAGGGAAGCGGCGAGTGGAACGTCCAAGGGTGACATGGAGGAGATCGTGTGAAGAGGAGTTGAAACAGCATGGATTAACATGGATGCAAGTGAAAAGTACAGCAGAAGACAGAAGCAAGTGGAGGCATGCAGTTGAAGGGAACAATAATAATAATCTAATTAAGACTTTCGTGAAAAATAATAGTGCTTAGTGAGATTACTGTTATTAAAGCAGAGTTCCCTATACATTTTCAGAATAATTGACTGAAAAACTCTAAGAATCACTTTAACTGATTCACGACAGCGTTTTAGTGGTGAAATACAAGCATTAACTAACTTACCTTTATCATGAAGACTATCAAAAGCCTACGATGAAATAAAGCAGCAAGAACTAATGATTGCCTACAGAGGTATAGCAGAACAAATCCCAGAGAAAAAGTGTTATAATGATATAAATATAATATGCTGTATGCAAACCAGAAACATTTTCACACTAACTACTAAACACACTAATACAAGAAAGAACAGTGGGACTGAAACAATAAAACTGGCAGCTAGTCTAACCAAGGAACTTTCTTACTTTTTTAAGTTGAGCCAATATCCAACTGAAACATGAGAACTGTGAACTGAGGACATTTTAAATCTGATTGAAGTCCGTTATTTATATCTTAACACTCCATTATTTCCTAGAACACATGTAAATACCTTTCTACTTTTTTTACTCTCTCTAAATGCCAAATGTCAAAGAGTGAGCGAAAGTAATTTTCTCCAGAAAAAAATCGCTACATTACTAACCCTCAAGTTTTTATTCATTGCATTTTCATGGTGACGATTTTTCTATAGGAATGGAAGAAGGGAAGTAAACTCCAAATTTCGTAAAAAGATCAATATATAGAAAGAACTTAAAGAGGGAATGACTAAGAACCGATGGTGCACTTGAACAACAGGCACTGGAAAGGATGGATAATGTTCCAAATTATTTTGGTTATCTGTAACCATAAGAATTCAAATTCTAGGAACTGCTTTAGTAAATAATGAATTAAATTTTACGTTAAACGTTTAGAGACTAATCTCCTACCTCAAAATATTTACTTCGACAGAAGATGAGACAAAATGCCGCCACTATTATCATATTAAAAGGATCAGGAAACAGAATCAATTATAACATCTACTTACATTGTATTAGAAACTGAAGTACTATCCACTGAATCTTTATTCACTGCAATTAAACGAATACTACCGTCAGAAGTGCACATTATGCATGATTCACGATTACGAGATAGCTCCTTCATATGCATATAATCTCCTGATCTAATTAAAAAATATAAAGTATGCGAATAGGGTTCAACTTACGCAACTAAAATAAATGAACTGACTAGAAAACATACAGTTAATCTCTAAGATGATTAGTGTGAAATTTAACTATGAATTAACAATCACAAAAAGATTAGTATACCATTGCTATAGGTTGATCATGCAATATAGCTGACCATACAAAAAATAGGTAGAGTTAAATGAACATCCTCTAAAACATAAATATATATACAACCACATTTAGACGGACAAATTATATATATATATATATATATATATATATATACTTAACTCGACCGCTATACTCCTTGTCTTCCACATGTGCTCCTTAACATGACTTAATACACTTCTGAGTTGTCCCAGTCGATCATTTCTTAAGTGAAAAATGAATCGGTGAGCCTGCCTCTGGATTATGTGACAAACATTTAGTCAAGCGACTAATATAAGCTGAGAACTGAAAACAGAAATGAATTTGGGAAACGTAGCATCATGACTAGCGGAAATTACTTAGTAGGTTCAAAACACAAAACTATGTTTGAAGAGAAGTGAAGAGATCCTTCCTAGACTAACTTAAAAATGCAGAAAGAATGCAAAATTATAGACTCGAAAACAATAACTTTAAATTTCCAAATGCCTAACCGTGTAAGACCTCTTAAGTGTAACCATGAACTATTTATTGTTCAGGAATTTATGACTTAATCATAACTTTAATCGAATTCGCAAAAGTATAATAATTTCAACACATAAGTTCTGCATTTTGTTAGGAAATAGATATTATGAAAAAATAAATAAATAAAGACTATATAATAAGCTTACTTTAGACTTTTGTGTGAGTCTCTTCGACCTCTCTGTTTATGAGGGGAATGACACCAGTCCTAAAAAAAGTGTAAGACACAAAAACTTTGGAATTTTCTTGCACAATATTACGCCTAAAACAGTGAAACTCAGTTACATTTACGGGTTTGATTAGTTGACTACAATACCACTGTTAAGACTGGAGGTACCCAAATGAGGGAAATCGAAAGATACTCGATTAATTAAAAACTATAATCGAGTTTCCAGATTGCTGAATTACACTACCCAATATCTAGCGTATATCAAAAGTAACAACTTTTAAAATCCCATTTTCTATAATTATCAAGCTCTTGATAATAAAAACTAGACATTAATGAAAACACAACACATAGTCTAGCGAAGAGTCACATACCGTAAATTCCTTTTCATTAGATGTACAATCACATTCATATACCCTTTTCATGTACAAAGGGTAGTAACAAAAGCGATGAGTTGTCACAAACATAGTTATGATATGGATACACATAGAAAAGGAAACTATGGAATGACGTAAGAGTTCCATTCCTATAAACTTTCAGCTCGATATTCTTGTCGATGAATCTTAAAGAGTACCCATTTTGGACGAAGGTTTCTTTCAGACCTAGTTCTGCTTCCAGGACGTCAAGACTGTACATGCGTCGGATCAAACTGGCAAGGGATTTTCGGTCAACAAGCCACCCAACTGTAGAAACTTGTTAGCTGACCGTTACAAGTGAGTCTTCTATGGATTGACCTTCTTAATGTTCCGTCACATTAGTTAGTTACTTCCACATTAAGAAAGGGAATTTTGAATTCGTTTTCCATTTTTAAATAGAATTTCACTGCCGGATGACAGTTGTTTAATACTTGTAGCAATTGACTGGGGTCATATCTACTATCGCAAATGATGAAAATGTCATCTACGCACATTTTATACAGTTGTAATTTATAAATGTTTGTATGTAAATGAGATTGTACAGCTAAGGAAAATGAATTCGCCGAAAGAGACTCTTCGCTGGACTACATGTTTTGTTTTCATCAATGAAACTAAAGTTGACAGAACATTAAAATAACGTATTTCACCGAACGGCACTAAAATGCATATGGATCGCCATCCCTTCACTAAATTTATGGTACAAATTACCCATACATTTACCAGATACACCTCCCATAATCCGAACACTCCATTCGACCAAGAAAATTGTTTAAATAAGCAACCCCGTTTAGGATTTTGTACTAAGGGATGGATCAAATATATTGTGAAATAATTTGAAGCGGTAGTCAAATCCACGTGATCCCACGAAATTAATGGAAAAAGGCTTAAATTTGTCAAAATCGAGTCCAACACTTAGACTATTACTGATTGACAACACATAAACGCACACCATATTCTTATATTTAGGAGTTGCATGAGCACATCATAAAACCAAAACTATTCCTTAGTCTAACAACAGTCTATATGTTACATCATTTTCTGTGAACACAATCTATTTACTTCGAGTATATATTTACATCAATATTTCTACATATTACCATAATGGGCTTCATAAAAATTCATATGGAATAAGAAATGTATTTTCGATAGAATAAAATAGTGAACGAAAGGAGTACGAAGGCAGCCTCGATAATTATGACATATCACAATGCTTTCTAGCTTTTGCCTAATGACGTTTTACAGCTTTTGTCTAGATTAATTTCATTTCCATATATTTAACCTTATTGGGTTTAATTTTATGTATAAATGACAACTTCAACCAAGAGGTAGTAATAAGAATTTCACAAATGATAAACCTAGTCTGTTTGTTGCTCATTCAATAAAATAGCTAGTCCGGAAACCTAAATTCTACAGAATAACTTTATGAAAATGGTTGACTTGTAAATCCCACGACTACTACTGATACTCATAAAGCAACTGTAAGATTTCCAAGCAAAATAGATGTAATATCAACAGAATCAAGAATATATTTTGTTAACACTAATACTCATGCAACTTTCTATCTCTATTATATTTCCCATTCTATCAAGCCAAATAACCCAATACCCAACAACATCAGATAGAATCCACGCAGAGGCACTGAAAACGGACCCAGAGTCCTAAACAAACATGCTCATGAAACTGCTAAAGAAAGTGTGGAGAAAAGCAGAGGAAACTGCCGAAAAGAAGCAATGCCACCTTGTCAAATTCCCGAAATATGGCGACTTACGATTACGCAAGAACTGGTGAAGAATCACACTCCTGTCCACCCTGAACAGAACATAAAGCCACATCATCCTGCAAAGACCAAAAGATGCTTTGTGTATAAGATTTCGCCCCGAACAGGCAGGATTCATGATAGCCGAATCATCTGAGGATTGAATATCAACATCTTCAGTGCCAATTCAATATGAAGTGAACTTATTTGAATTCTCCATCAATGATGTAATTTCATTTCCTGACAACCTTTATTCTGATCGATTGTTACTTAGTATGTTACCAGGCTACTTAAATCACCTCGCCTAGTTAACTAGCTTGCTAGTTTTCTAGCCGGTCCCAAGCCCGGATAAAGAGGGAAGGTTGAGCGTAAGGCTAGCAACCCTACACCACTTAACCTATCAAACCGCTAGAGATAGTTAAACACATAAGAATATGTTAAAAAACAAAAAATACAAAGGACCATTTTATTCTTCTCTGGAATCGGGGAGGCAAAATGACGCGGGCTGGTGAAGGCCTTCGGGAAGCCAGTCAGCCAATGTGTCTTCTCTCGATGAAAGCAAATTGAGAATGCGGACGTGGAATGTCCGTACAATGTACGAAATTGGGAAGGCTGCCCATGCAGCCAACAAAACGCGAAGATATGGCATACAAGTGCTGGGTATCTGCGAAAGTAGATGGAATGGATGTGAATTATCCAAATTGTCAACTGGAGAGTCAGTAATCTGCTTCAACCACCCAGACAACAACCACGAACACACTGAGGGAGTGTTATCATGATGTCACCAGTGTCATTCAAAGCTCTTATGCTGTGGGAATCAACCTCCTCCAAGACTATAACAATATGATTCAACTCAACGGGAAAGAAGGTCTCAGCCATTTAATACTACGCACCTGCAAACAACTCGGAACAAGAGAAGGAAGATTCCTATAGACAACTACTAAGAGTAAAGGACAACATCCCGAAATGGAGACATCAAAATACTTATAGGTGATACGGATACAAACCAAAACGGGAACAGATAATACAGGAAGAGAACTCATCATGGGTCGAGAGGCTCTCGGAGAAATAAATGACAAAGGAGAACTCTTCGCAGACTTCTGCGATTTCAATGATTTGGTGATCCGAGGCAGCATGTACAAACACAAGGATATACACAAGGCAACATGGATTTCGCCTGATGGACACACCAAAATCCACATGGACTTCATCTCAATACTGTTCAAGAAATGGAGATGCAGTCTGCTGGACACAAAGTCGAGTTGGCTCAGACCATCATCTAGTTCTAGTGTAACAACAGAAGACAAGGACCAGGCAACAGATCGTTTATTAAAGAAATCAACACATATTTGTAGATTTTCATGTACATATTATAGATTATTGTTAGCAGAAAAACACAGTCTTCTGACTGGTTGTTTCTCACAAAAAGTTAACATTTCATCTCTTTGTGGCTGTTTCTTGAAAGTCAGATCATCTATATGCTAACTGTATCCACCTACGCAAAGTCTTTGTTCCTATTTTTCTCACGACCAATATTTGGGACATAAACCTTGACGTCTACCAATTTGGCTAGCAGCCAGCTCTCACCACACTAGGAACCTTCGAGGTGAAGCTGAAATCCTTCAGAACAACTGGAGACAGGCCACAATTCAAGTTCAATAATCAGAAACTGAGGGACAAAACTATAAGGGATGCCTTCGCTACAGATATCACAGTAAAGTCGGACACACTAATTGGCATCACTAAGGAAACCTGTATGGAAGAACATTGGAACTCTCTGAAAGTGATACTTAACGAAACATGTACAACTGTTCTAGGAAGAAGGAAGAGACAAGACAAGGAGTGGCTGTCAACGGATAGCTGGAAGCTAATCGAGGAGAGGAAGATGGTGAAAGAGATGACTCAATGCAAAGATGCACAACAGAAGGAGAAGCCGAGTTCAATGTACGCTGCACTGAATAAAGTAGTAAAGAAGAGTGCTAAGAAAGACAAAAGACAGTTCTACGGCAAAACGGACAAAGCGGAGATGTGTTGTTGAAGCCCTATTTTCCACTCGGAACTCAAGCGAATAATAATAACAAAAGGGTACTTAAATACATTAGATATCCCAAATATAAAAATTAGCAATCATTCTAAATGTAATTGAATATAGTAGCTACATCCATGATGTAGTGAAGAGATATACGTAATGAATCGTAACTTGGGACAAATGCCAGCTACTGTTGATCAATTAGGAACCTCAGATTCACCTTGCTTATTTGATTTCTTTACGAAGACGTTACAATAGATCTCATATTGATATACGGATAAAAATTGGGTGCTGACGTGGAGTGTAATTCAATTATGAATAAAATTCATTTTGATAAAGTCATTTACTGTCATACAATAATATTTACTTCTGACCTTTCGAGCACAATTTATTGCTCATAATCATATCAAGGTACTCACACAACTGTCTAACTTCCTTTATATAGTCCCATTATTTGTCACTGCTTGATTTGATTGGTAGTAGTGTTTTCCATATTTCCTGCATGAGTGATGAGTCACTTCTATTGCATGTGTTGGGTGTAGACTCGATGAACCAGGATTCGGTAATCAATCTCTCTCTCCACCTACCTATATTACTTTTTAGAATTTTAACCCTCTCTCACCCTATTGTGTGGCTGTGTGTCAATGCATGCAGTACTATTGCTGAGTTTTTTTTCTAAATTACTTATCTTCGTGGGGTCAATCGACCTAACCTTAGCTAAATTCGTATGTTCTGATAATCTCACTACTCCTGATCCACTAGTTTGACCTATGTAGTTGACCTCAGTCATTGGAAAGTATTTTGTAAATTGTATTATTTTGTTTAATTCGGTCCACCGGGTCCTTTAGCCTACAGGACTGTCTCTAAGTGAACAAAATGTATAGACAGAAAAATGGTGTAGCGATGGTATTACCAATATCCCTTATCGTAGCAGACATCTTTATGGACAGCTAGGAAAATATTGCTCTAAATACTTTTAATCCTACTCCAAAAATATCGTGTAGATAAGTGGATGACACTTTTACGGTGTTAGAAATAGAACATATCTCTAGCTTCTTGACGCATATAAACTCACTAGTGGAGGGAATACAATTTACATTCGAATCAGAAAATGAACAAGGAGAATTAGCTATGTTGGGCTGTAAAATAAAAGGAACGGAAGAAGATAACCTGAACGCATAGATATTTAGACTTTAATTCATCTCATCCGTTATCTGTAAAGGCAGGCTTAGTTAAATGTCTGATAAACAGAGCGATAACACTGAGTAGTACAACAAAAAACCTAAATGATGAAATGAAACATATAGAAGAAGCGTTAGTGTTAAATAACTTATCCTAAAATATTGATCAGAAAGATCAAAAAGCTCAAAAGCAAAAAAAAAAGTAGTAGTTAAACTAATAATATATTCGCACAACACATTTCGAACAATCTGATCACACACGAACTTGTCATAGGAATATATATGAAATTAATAAAGAGGTAAGAGGTGAGAAAATAGACTTAGGTCAAGTTAAAAAGGCATATTTAGGGTCAAAATAACAATGAAGAACACTAAACCAAATAGCAGAGGTACTATTACCTCTGCTATGACAATTCCGTGTGTGATCAGATTGTTCGAAATGTGTTGCGCAAATACATTACACGATTCAGACAAATTACATCTTCTTGTTGCTTTATCTAAATTCATAAAGGGAACTAATTGTTTTAAACTAATAATAATAGAATATATAACAGAGAATATTAGGCATCTTCAGTTTTGCCATATTAGAAGGGGATGTCTGAGACCCTACGTTGTTTTCGTAATAAAGTAGGAAATAACGTGGCATTCAAACCTAAAAACTCACTCAGAGACAAGCTCTGTAGGCCAAAAGACCCGGTGGATCGAATTAAACAAAATAATACATTTTACAAAATACTTTCCAATGACTGAGGTCAACTACATAGGTCAAACTAGTGGATCAGGAGTAGTGAGATTATCAGAACATACGAATTTAGCTAAGGTTAGGTCGATTGACCCCACGAAGATAAGTAATTTAGAAAAAAAACTCAGCAATAGTACTGCATGCATTGACACACAGCCACACAATAGGGTGAGAGAGGGTTAAAATTCTAAAAAGTAATATAGGTAGGTGGAGAGAGAGATTGATTACCGAATCCTGGTTCATCGAGTCTACACCCAACACATGCAATAGAAGAGACTCAATGCAAAGAGCTGAGATATGGAAGATATCATTACCAGTCAAATCGGAGGATAATATGCAATGTTAAAATCTATTTCAATTCACATTATAACACTAACAAGTTATTTATTTTACTATAAATCATCTTATTTCTCATCTTTCTGACTGACAACACTCATCTTAGTCCCCATCTTATTATATTTTATTGGAAACACCAAGGTTGTTTCCGAATGCATTTTATCTTCCTTTCTGTTTCACGCGTCTTACATTGATTTATTCAAATGTCTAATCTATTTCTATTCATGTGTATATACGAAGCAAGAAAGTCATATGATTACCTTGATATGATTATGAGCTATAAATTGTGCTCGAAACGTCATCAGTAAATATTAATGTAGAACACTGTGACTTTATCAAAATAAATTCTATCCAAAATGAAACATCTCTTATATATTCGACGAAATACTTTATTCAAATTTGAGAAGTTTTATTGTCACCTCTGTATTGGTAATGTAACCACGTACAACCTTTAATATAATTCTATGATTTCTTTTGTGAAGGCACATAATACGAAAAAATGTTTGAGGTAAGTGTACGGCTATACTGTCAAATATATATATATATATACATATATTGTAGCACATTGTAGTACAAACAACCAAAAGAAATACCAGACATAAGGTAAACATTATGTATATCTAACTTACTAAAGCAACAGCTGTTACGTCCGGTAATAGTGATAACTTCGTTAGCAAGGAAGAGTTGAATAAATTCCATATTTCTAGAGGACCTTTCCGAACGATTATACCAACATATTGTCTGAAAATAACAGTGACATATATATATATATATATATATATATAATATCTACAATATGTAGAATGATGTTACTTACCCTGAGAGAAGAAACTATTCACAGTTTGAAGATCATATAGCTCGAGGTAAAATTTTATCACAATATCCTTTAGAAACTGAAATCACTCAAATCACAATATGTGATCTGCTTGATATTGCAAGTGGTAGTGGTTGACGTCAGTGGTATTCAAAAACTTATATTAATCAATCAGTAGTATATACTATTAAGGTAGCATTTAGTCAAATAATAATGACCGTAAACTTCAACCTTTGGACTGAGTTACCCCGAACAGATTTTTTATGTACCACACTATGAGCAACATTTATAAGGCTACTGATAACACTTAGTCGCCCAGATTGAATTGGGTAGAACAGGATTCAAATCCAAGACCAGCTGGCCGCATGCTAAAGCAGACAAGCCACATCCCACAACTCATTATTAGTGTCTACCTCTTCTGGACTATAAAAGGTATTTGCTAAGGTCAAAGAAAAACTTATCATTCAATAAAGCCACTAATAATTATAATGAGGTATAAGCAATCAATAAAAATTACAGTTTGATGACCAAATTAGAGTACTGGATACATAACCTTTAGGTTTGATGTTAGAGAATCCATCAGTTGTCGCTGATTTTTATAAATAAATCATTTCCTACAGTATGTGAGTGAACTAGGAATATCCTTCTTATCATATATTCACTCAGGTACAACACTACAGTCAAATTAACCGCGAAGAATAATGTGTAACATGAAGGAAGTATCCCCATCACGTAACACATCAACTAATTAGGCTTTTTATGGATATGGACACTAAGAAAGCTGCTGAAGTAAAACAACCCACAAGACGAATAAAATTTTAATAAATTCTCAGAAGAGACAGTTAGAACTTTGGGCAAGGCACTTTTGAGTAGTTTAATTGGCTCCAGTTGCACTAGTTCCCACCATTCCAACTGCAAAACTTAGTTTTTAGATTGGTTACTTTAGTGACATTTTACGTGAAATGTTCAAAGAACAAGCTAAAAGTGAATTGCTCTTAATAATTACAATATCTTTAAATGCCTTATACCAATGGATCCTTATTTATCACACCAATGGAAACCTCTCCATACTAATTCCAACTGGTTAAAAGGAATTAAAAATACTAATCTGATTCAAACATCAATTTATCGCACGCGTAACCATCAAGATGTATAGATCAATATAAGAGCAATATGAATTTCTTATCCAAAATTCTTACCTCATATAACTAACACGAATAACATCGATAGGTCCTTCTAAAGAACGATCCTGGTCATTAAGTCCTGATAAAAGTTGACCAAGAGAACCGCCTGTTTCTATACCAGAACCTGATTTGTTCATTTTTTCACAAGAAGCATCACGAAATACACGCATGTATCCTGTTATTAAATCAACTGTAATCACAAAATTCTTCCCCATAGCATTAGTTTTATTCGAAGTATTTTCAGTAAGAGAACTTTGATGACCATCTTTTGGTTGCCAGCCATACACAATTAAGCCCAATGAATATTCATTTGTTCGTGATGTCAAGGAATCGTCATTCTTTTGACAATCTCTGTAAATTGTGAGAGGTATAGTTATCCACTCAATCCCTTTAATGGCCACTGGTAGCACATGATATTCACGCCATAATAAAGTTGATGATATATCCCAAATCTGTAAACAATAACATATTCATATGCAATCTAGCGACAATAAAAGAAGTAATAAAATTAGGACTAGTTAAATATATTCATACACAAATGCTCAAAGCTCTTTCATAAAGTGGAGAACTGAATAGCATAGCCCAAGCTTTTAGTGATGATGATCACTTAGTCACAGCAGCCTCCGATTATTTAACCAAACCTTAGTTAAATAATGCACGAATGAAGCATCAGTATAGGCTTAATTAGAGGTAAAGTAACAGTAAAAAGCATACAATATTACAGAATAAATAAGCAGCCTTCGAGTTGTAAAACTAAAGATATTTTGTACACCAAAATGATATTATCTTATTCCCTTAAGATCTTCAAGAGACTATTTTTGTTTACACTCATAGGATGACTACTTTGAATACATAGGAATGTAAATATGACGGCAATGATAGCAAAATAAAGCATTTCATAAACTGCCTCGGCAATTATCAAGTTACATATGAGTCGAATGCGTACTGTCTTACCATAAAACTGCCTGCCTTTCGATAAATGCGCAGAGACTTTGTACAAATTTATGAAATCACTACCATTATTAAATAGTACAAAAAAGGCTGGGGGATCCTTATTTTATAACTACTTAAGTTAGCCTATTTAAAAAATCAAGACAGACTGCATTAAACAAATAATTCAATATTTTGAAAGAAGTATAATGTCTTTAATCTAAACCAGAACGTAAGACTAGTATATATATTATTATTAGAAAACATACCGTTGTCATCGATGACTCAAAAAGTACGAATTCAGTGATTAGTAAAAATAAGGAAAATAAAAGCAATTAAGTGTTACACTAAGAGTAGTTCAAAGAAAACCTAGAATTCCAGAAATGAAGATTTTAACTCTTCACGGAACAAAATGTAGTATATTTACACTAAGGATTTAATTGCTGAGAAACAAGCAACTATGCTGCTATGTCATGATCTTTATGAATGCTGTTTGAAAATTTTATTGCTCTTTCAACTTTGGATTTTATTGGTACATTTTTCAGCGTCAGTCTGGGTGTGATAATCAGTGTTACAAAGCAAATCTCTCCCTGAATCGACCTTTCAACAGAAAAAAATCCGGTGTCTCTTAACAATTATAGTTAGTTGAATAAATGCTGCAATGTGAGTTATTTTGACAACAAAAGGTTACGCAGACTGAAAAAGTAGAAATACTTATGAACTGAAATAGTTTATACTACCTGAATATCACCATTAGTGTTCCCAACAGCAACAAGAGGACCACAAATAGAATCTATCGTGCCAGTATTAATGAGATTTGGTGGACAAACTCGACATAATGTTGGTTCTGACCTATTGGGAGTGTACAGTGAATTTAACTCAAGGTACAACTTTATCGGAGGCCTGCAACCAAAGTACAAAATTAAACCAAAGCTATTAACAATCGATCCACTTTGTGAGCAAAATAAGGGTTTTTAGCAGTAATCATGCTCCACTAAACAGAATTTATTGATATTTAAACTGAATTCATTCAAACAGTTACAAAGAAAAATATCCAAAAGCTTTAGAAAATGAAAATCACCTCCCTGGGTAACAGTCCACAAGCAAATCAAGTTTGTAACTCTATTCAATCTTTATGTGCTACTTTCCAATATATTTGAAAAGGACTAGCTAACATCGACCAACTTACTTAGTCCTGTTTCATTTCATCAAACTAGGAGAGTTGAATACTCTGCTCATCATATCTGCTAAAAATGATTGCTAGCCACGGCAGCAGAGTCTTACAAAAAAATAAAATGAATACTAGACTGTAATAATTGGTATAAGAATAGAACTTGTGCACTGTGGTAGAGTATGATTCCATTATGAATAAAATTCATTTTGATAAAGTTACACAGTGTTATTTACTTGTGACATTTCGAGCACAATTTATTGCTCATAATCATGCCAAGATACTCACACAACTTTCTAACTTCATTTATATAATTCCATTATTTTTCATCGCTTGATTTGATTGGTAGTAGTATTTTCCATATTTCCGGTATGAGTGTTGAGTAATTCCTACGCCCATTCATTCCTCTACACCCAACAAGTGCAATAAGGATGACTCATCACTCATTCCGGAAATATGGAAAATACTACTACCAATCAAATCAAGCGATGAAAAATAATGGAATTATATAAATGAAGTTAGAAAGTTGTGTGAGTATCTTGGCATGATTATGAGCAATAAATTGTGCTCGAAATGTCACAAGTAAATACCACTGAATAACACTGTGTAACTTTATCAAAATAAATTTTACCCATAACGGAATTAGACTGTAATAAACTGATATATGTGTAAAACTTGGGCACTGTGGTAGTAAGTAATTCCATATTAGTTTGTTTATTAAATGTATCACACAGCGAAACAGTATTATTTACTGGATGACGTTTCGAACAAAATTTATTGTTCACATCCATATCAACTGTAATCACACGACTTTGAAACTTGAGTTTTATGGGTGTTTTTTTTGTCTTCTCTTATTTGTCGTAGGGGTAGTAGAATTTTCCAGATATCTGGGACAGGTGTTGAATCATTCCTATTACATGCATTTGCAGTTGATTCGATAAACAAAGCTTCTGTTATCAATCTCTCCCTATACCCTGTGACATTAGATTTTAAAACTGTCATCCTATCCCATCCTATTGTATTGTTGTGTGTAACTGCATGTAGTGCTACATACCTGAGCTACTCTCGAGATTTCTTATCTTATTTGGGTCAACCAATCTAGATTTTGCTAGGTTTTTATGTTCAGCTAGTCTGACTGCCCCTGTTCTACTAGTTTGACTTATGTATTTGACCTGACAATCATTGCAGGGTATAAGATAAACTAAATTGTTTTGTTTTAAAGGCTCTACAGGATCCTTTAACCGACAAAGCTTGTTTCTAATTGAGTTTGTGGGTTTGAATGCCATTTTTATTCCTGCCTTGTTAAGAATTCTGCGTAAGGCTTCCGAGGTTCCTTCCTTGTATGGAATTACTACTAATGATTTAGATTCCTTATTGTTGGTGTCGTCATTAATATTATTATTATTGTTATTATCACTATCGCTACTATCATTATTTATTTTATTTTTACATTTCTTTACATATTTCTTGACTAATTTATCCGGGTAATTATTAAGTTTCAAAGCTTCTTTTTTTATGTGTATCAGTTCCTGTTTTAGATTTTCTTTGGTACTACTTAGTTTTTGTGCTCTGTCATTTAAGCATTTCACCAATCCTATTTTCACAGACATAGGATGGGATGATCGGAAGTCTAAATATCTGTTTGAGTGTGTGGGTTTCCTGTAAACACTAGTGTTTAACTTCCCATCTTCTTTCCTCTTTACGTTACAATCTAACATTGGGAGCTCCCCTTCCTGATTTTCCAATTCATAAGTAAATTGAATTGCTTCAACCTTCGAGTTGATGTGTTCGAAAAACCTATCTATATCTTGTGTTTTAAGTACAGTGAATGTGTCATCTACATACCTCCACCACACTTTTGGGGTGGGGATGAACGTTTCAATTGCTATTCTTTCCCACTTATCCATGAATATATCTGCTACAACTGGGGATATTGGTGATCCCATGGCAACTCCTTCAGTTTGTTTGTATATTTTACCCTGGAATTTAAATACTGTGGAAGTCAGGCATAGCTGTACTCCCAGCATTATGTCCTCAACTGTCACTTTCGTCCTAAGTTCGAGTTCGTGGTCAGAAATGAGTTTATTTCTGACTGCCTCTATAGCCATATTTATTGGTATACATGTATATAAACTTACAATGTCAAAACTAACCATTTTCTCTTCATCATCTAATTTTAAATTATCTAATCTATGTTTTAGTTCATAAGAATTTGTTAGTCTAGATTTTGAGTGTCTTTTAAGGGGATTTAATACCATGGCTAAATATTTAGATAATTCATAAGTAGGTGAATTTCTAAAATCAACTCTATAGGCCTAATAGGGTATCCTGACTTATGAACTTTAACAACACCATACATCCTACTAGGGTTATTAGTTTTGAGTATTAAATTAAACCACTTAGACTCACAGGTCCACTGTGGATTTCTTAACTTTATTCATAACTGTGTCTATTGATTTATTAATTTCCTCATATGGTCCTGTTTGTATGTGAGTATTTACCTTGTCCAAATAGTCTAATTTGTCTAATACTACTGTTGCATTTCCTTTGTCTGACTTTGTGATTACTATATCCTTGTTATTCTTAAGGTGTTTCAGGGATTCTATCTCTGGTTTTGTCACGTTGGGTTTTCCACATTTTTGTCGCTTTAATGTAAGTGCACATTGTGCCCGTACTTCGTCAGTCGTTGTTTTGTGTATCCCACTTAGTGCCATTTCTATTTTAGGGATGACATCCTCAGGTTTCAACTTGTCTACTGATACATTGAAATTTAGTCCCTTTTCTAATACACTTATTTCTGTAGGACATGTTATTATTATATCCTTTAATTCCTAGAGGAACATAGGGCTTCAGCCGTGCATCTCCATTGCGTTCGGTTCTCTGCTAGAGTTTTCACCTGGCTCCATGTCTGCCCACACGTTTTCATCTCTTCACATGACCTCCTCCAAGCCACCTTTGGACGACCAACTCGCCGCTTCCCTTTTGGGTTCCACTCAAGGGCTTGTCTAGTGATGTCACTTGATGGTTTCATCAGAGTATGACCAGCCAATCCAACTCCATTTCTTCCTGCCTATTTGTTTCACAATCGGTTCCTGGTTGGTTCGTTCCCAAAGATCTCTGCTGCTGATCTTTTCTGGCCATCTTATCTTGAGTATTGAGCGAAGACAACTGTTAATGAAGGCCTGTAGTTTGTTTGAGATGCTTTTTATGACGCGCCAAGTCTCTGATCCGTATGGTAGCACTGACTTCACATTGGAGTTGAAAATCCGGATCTTATTTTTGATGCTGAGAGTTGTTGACCTCCACACAGACTTGAGAGTAGTGAAAGCTTGTCTTGCTTTTCCGATCCTTGCTTTGATATTCTCATCACTTCTGTTAGCCTGTAGTTGAACCGATGCTTCCCATGTAGGTAAAAGAGGTTGTTTGTTTCAGGTTCCTTCCATTTATGCTGATTGTTGTCTGCTGTTGTTGGTGTTGCCCACGAATCTTCATCTGATGCTTCTTCTGCCAACTTGTTGCTTTTCGCTTGCATATCTTAATAATAATAATTTATATTTCGTATAAACAGACTTAATATATGTGTTGAGAGATTGATAACCCACTTTGTTTAATCGATCGCCGTTGACTTTGGTTTGTTGACTTCATCGTTCTGAGATGAAGATTTCTCCTCTAATAATGTGTTGAACATTTTGCTTTGACTATTTTTTGACTTTTTGAAAGTTGCTGATTTCGCATTGCTGGAGGATTGTGTTATAAGATCATAATTTACATTGGTGACTATTCCCTTTAGCTTTTGTTTTAATTGCTCAATTTCACATCTGATATGTTGCAATTTTTTAACGATTCTGTGGATGTTTTCTTTCAGGCATAATTTTTGTAGGCTCCCTATTCTGCTTCTAACTCTGTCCGTTCGAACTGGGGCTCGCAGACGTAGATATTTAGGAATGATTTCAGTTTTCAAGCATCGAATGTTGAAAAATACGATGATCTTTATATCTTGCTTCAGTTTGCGAAAGTCGAGTGAGTTTGTTGATAAGTCTTCGTACAGGAAGACCATAAGTCATATTAATATATGTGTAAAACTTGGGCACTGTGGTAGTAAGTAATTCCATATTAGTTTGTTTATTAAATGTATCACACAGCGAAACAGTATTATTTACTGGATGACGTTTCGAACAAAATTTATTGTTCACATCCATATCAACTGTAATCACACGACTTTGAAACTTGAGTTTTATGGGTGTTTTTTTTGTCTTCTCTTATTTGTCGTAGGGGTAATTAACTGACTATGGAATAAGGTCAAGAAAACGGCAACAAGTATCCATACAAGTAAGGGAGTCCAGACAGCTAAATCTAAACTTTTAATCCAGCTTACTTTTATCAATGAATCAAAAGAGCATGTAGGTAAAGCTGAAGCATCAGATATTTGTTAGTTAGTTGTTACCAACCTCCATCCTACCCTCCGTTTTCCTAATTATCTACCAATACAAATCCTCTCTATGTAAATTTCACTACTTTTCGTCTTGGTGTTTTCTGAAACCAAAAGAATAAAAAGTGTGTTTTAGGTCTTTTTTTTATTTTTAACGTTAATCTCGATCCCTTCATTTCATTGTTCTATGCTTCTGAAGAGCCTGATAACTTGAACAAACGCACTTTGAGCAGCCGTGTTGTAATACCTATCTATCACCTGGCTTTAAAATATTTGTGAGATAGGACCAGCCTAGAATCAATCCACATGAGCATCGTCTACCCGTAATCTTCTCAGCCTCAATCAATTCACCAGTTATGAAGTATCTTAGTTTTCCGGAACATGAGGTTGAAATTTCCGATGGAATAAAAGCATAAACCGACTGTCCCTTGAGAAAACTTTAATAAAACCCTGTCCACATCGTTATATTCTGGCAAAAAATAAGATTTTCTCAAACGTGATGTCATACAACTGCGTTAACGCATCACTCACTTATTTTCCATTGATTCATGTGGTATCAGATCGGATAGACTCCAAACTGGCTTTTGTTCTTCATTGGCCACAAATGAGTTTTTAATAGATCGCAGTTGCCAGAACTGTGAACATTGAATAAAAAATGAAATAAATATTCATACCTTTCTCATCACAATAAATAAAAACGAATCGATTAAACCAGCCATCTTAATTTGTGATTGAATTACCAGAAAATTGACCACGGTGGTAAATAATTTATTTAGTACAGTGAGATTTCCTATGCAAAACAGTTTACTGAGTTCACAACCATATCTGTTTACAAAATAAAATACGCAACCACTTTGTGAGAAACTACTTGCCACACCGTAAGTTTTCTCAGTTTGAGACCTACAAAACTGACGAATACACGCGGTAACCCGAAGGTCAGATTGCGCTTGTTATTGGAGCTTTAAACTTATCAAAATAAACTCCCCTCACGAGAATTAAAAAAATTATGTGATTCGCCAAAAGAACAAGCCCATAGACCAAATAAACTTCGTGAATTCGATGTGACTTATTGACAGACACAAATTCCCAATTCATGTGGAAATTCAGATAGAACACAATTTGAACATCAGTCAGTTTACTCAACGCACAGAATACAAGAACTTTGCTTACAGAATTTATCCGAATTCCTTGCCAAATTGATACTAGCAAAAGTAGAACAAATCCATGGTCAAGCCTAAATATTATTTACCATTTTCTAGTAAAAATCACCCTAATTGCAAAAATAGCACACAATTATGACGTACGAGTATGAAAAATGTAAAACGCCTGGTGTAACATGGAAATTGCATATGAGTTAGACTCTATGCCAAAAACCAATTTAGTGTAACAGATACCGCTAATGTAGCAACTGGCGAGCAAAGTAGAACTCACCTGCATACGGCCATCAACAGAGGCTACAGCAATAGTCACCTCCTTTAACCGATCAACGGTGAAATTGACAGGATATGCTTGTTTTGGACGTCTGGACGAAGCAGCAGTCGCTACAAGAACATAAGAGCAACTGCTGTTATCTAGGTCGTAGGTTTCTTTGCGAGCTTTCTGAAACATATTAGATGAATGAGCATAAAAGTCCATCGCTAAGGCAAGCCCACGACGAGCATATACGCTCAAATTACCATTTTCATGTAGACAGATGATAACATCACGTTGAGTGCAAGAATAAACCTGTAAATTGCAAGTACACTTTGTGTTATCACCTATAAATTTCTGGTTATCAATTATTTCAAAATATTTAAATTAAACGGGAATTTTACCCGAATACGTTTGGGTTAACAGACAACGAATTCATTAAAAAATACATAACTGATACGTCTTTGAACTTACTAAATTGATGAGAAAGGGACTAAACACAACAACATGAATTCAATGCCTGATACGCAGATTAGTGATCTTTAACTTCGGCACTCATAAGTGCACAGTAATAAGGGGTGCTAAAAATTTAGACTCGTATAATGGAGCTAGCCTGCCAAGTCCATCTATAGGCTAGGCACGTCATTATTAAGGTAAGCGTCTGACCATTTAAATATACTTCTTGGCTATATATTTCATTTGTAAACAAGTCATACACAGCCACAGTGGGTTCTTATGCAGGAAAAATAGTATGATACAAAGGTTGCTATTTTAAAAATCATAACTATCGATTGTCCAATCACACTAAGCTATATAAGAAACAAAAGTTAAAATGCTTTTTATGGTTTTAACAAACTTACACGTGAAAAAGATGGCCGAGAACGATCCAGAGAAATAACACCAAGAGGATGAATTACTGCTAGGTTCACAAAAACAATCTCCCGCTTGAAAACAAATAACACACAGTCCTTGTTATATCCATGATAAGTAACTTGTAAGCACGTCTTTTTAAGTGTTGTTCCTCCCTTATCGCTCGAAGTATCCCATGTCCTAAGTAGAAATTAGGTAAACAGCCTCTCAAAGCCACGTCAAAGAAATAGTGCAAACTACATCGCACCTGAGTCGCTCTATTACTTCATTAAACATTATGTAATGATGAAACAGCGTATCAGACATGCTCAATAAGTATGAAAAAATAATGGTTAAAGAAAATTGATGTACTTACAAGTTCTATGAAGTCCATGAAGTCTTTATAAAAACAACAGTGGATTCATAGCACAACTTTTATACGGCGATTCATTTAAACCTTAGTAAGTGGACTTTTGTAATACTTCGATAATAACATTTTTTTTAGTTTTATCTAACTCCGATATTTACTTAATTTAAATTTACCAACGGTCTAATTAACTCAGTTCACCATCAACTTCGATAAATAAACACAAAAGATGGAACAGAACATAGTTAACAATAACATGTTTGCTTCATACATTTATTCCCCTTTACGAATTTGAATAAAGCAAGAATAAGTTCGTGCTAAATAAGATGGCACCGTCATTTACACACAACCTTTGCATTCCAATCAACAAACTGAGATCCTGTAAGTTTCCCAACCGCTGTTTCGACGCACCTTTGCAGGAGCGGACACAGATGTAAGAAATAGTCAGGACAAATAAGACTGCAACTAATAATTACTGTGAGTTCCTTAAAAATGAATATTATAATAAATCTAACAGTCCTCCGTATCTCAGAAAAATACACCATCTTATGGCAACCTTGTATTGATGCTATGAGCGTAAACATCATGATCTTGTGACAATGAAGCAAACAAACTTTCAGTAGACGGGTGTACGAACTAACTGTGTTGGCCTACTTTCATAAAAGCTAGAATGAGACGACTGTAACACTCCGCAAATACGCCATATTCAAATATACTAGCTTCGGCTAGGTAAGCGCACAGCAATGTGTAGCGTAGATTACAAGCAAGGAGTGAAACTTCTTACCTTTCTGAAATTCCCATACTAGACATCCAGCCGCTGATGGCCGATTTTACAGATGTCACTCCCGTCCCTGCCCCTTGACAGTCAGTTTCAGTGTGAAAAGCTTTAACACCACCAACTAAAGAGTATATTAACTAACAAGAACAAACCAGTTCCATGTATGCTCTGCCTTCGGGCTTTACCAAAGCTACACAAGGTAACAGAAAAATTTTCAACCACAAAATGTTCTCTGGAATAAACTGATAAACTGAGAAAAAAATTGAAGTGAATTACAAATAATCTTCGAAGTGGAAAATAAATCCAAAGAGAATGAAGCTATGGAGTCATCGAAAGTGTACTTCCACAGTTGAGTTTGCGTTTGGGTGTTCCAAATAATGAATATAGCATGAGAGTGAAGAACACCCAGCAAGTCACGTGACACCCACTGATTTGGTAGCCACAACATGTCTGAAATAAGAAGTGTTAATTAAGACTAACCCAAAACTGAGGAATCTGATTCGCGGAACTCCGAAGTTGCAGTGGCTGTGAAGGCATCCCAAACCATTATTACTCCAGAGGAATCAACACTAGCCAGTCTCAACTGGAAAGGACTTTTGTCGTCATGATAGTAATTTTCTGGAGCCCACTGGACATTTGTCACGTTCGCGCAATGTCCCTGTAGCGACTGTATGGACTAAAATACGATTAAGCAAACCAGTGGGAACTAATTACTTTACACGAATAAGGATCAATTATAAGTATATTAGTGAAGCTGCTCAGGGCAATAAGACCCTTCCAACCACTAAACACTCATTAATCCCAGATAAAAACGACCCTTACTAATCAATAGCTAGAAATGCATCTGAGCTCACACCAACCGACAATACTCTCGGCCTCATGACAACCAACAAGTCATCCAACTACAATGACAGAGGATTTAGACACAAAAGACGTGTGGAGAGGCTGCGCACTTTAAGGTCACTTATTTACATTGCGATTGGTAGATTTTCCTTTGCATAAGCGTTGCGGCTAATACGTATTGTTCTTTACTGAGGCGGGATTTGAAATATTAGTAATAATAAAATCAGAGAGACATTATATTTGTCAGCTTAAGAAAAGAAATTAGTATATATGTAAATACATTTTACAGATGTGATATACATTGGCGCCATTTACAGAACGAATAGTGTTGGGTAACTAAATAAAAGAAGTATAATGTTTGAAGTTGCAGTATATTTCAGTCGATTGTAACGGATGGATGTGAGAAAGGCAACTGTGTAATGTTTGCTTGTTGTAGAAGAGAAAATGTGCTAGATACATTGGAAGTTCTACGACCGTTCAGATCTACCATGGAATGATTGAACAATTAATCTCTCAGCTGGAGAATGCCACTAATTCTACGATTGCTCCCTCGTTCACATATTCACTGAGCCTAAGATAAGAGACTGTTCACCAGACGTAAGATTAATTTACCTGATAATGGTGGCGAAGTTTGAGCATCATAGCTAAAGTCAGGGTCTTTAAAAGGTTGACCTTCAATGACCGATTAGACACAGGGAATGATATGAACCTGGACCTAGAAAGAGGAGATATACAGTAATCTACTTATTAATTAGGTACTTCTGTAAATAAATGCTGCTTCGTAGGTCGTTTCAGATTAAGATACAGAGTTTAGGGTTAAAGTTAGAGTTAGTAATAGGCCGAGGAATGGTGTCACAAATATCAATCAATTTCGACCTACAGTCACCTGTATGAATACGTATATCACGCATGGTCCGATTTTTCCATTGGTAATCTGGTTATTTACTGGGAGACATTCTTATAACATATAGGCTACAACTACACAGTGTATTATATTATGTTCATAATATTTTTAGTGTATTTTTCACCGATTATGCGGCCCTTCTACATATGATTGACTGTTCAAGGTAACCGTGGTTTTGACAATGACAGTTTAACCTTGCCGATACTGTGTACATTCTCAGATGTTTTGCAGTACAGATGATGGTGATCGTGGGAATAACTTAGCTGATTATTGTTCCGTTGCCAATATACGCATTTCTGTCAACTATGTGTATATCTTTAATTTACCATTTCGAGGAAGGTTTGGAGAAAAGCAGAGGAAACTGCCGAAAAGAAGCAATGCCACCATGTCAAATTCCCGAAATATGGCGACTTACGATTACGCAAGAACTGGTGAAGAATCACACTCCTGTCCACCCTGAACAGAACATAAAGCCACATCATCCTGCAAAGACCAAAAGATGCTTTGTGTATAAGATTTCGCCCCGAACAGGCAGGATTCATGATAGCCGAATCATCTGAGGATTGAATATCAACATCTTCAGTGCCAATTCAATATGAAGTGAACTTATTTGAATTCTCCATCAATGATGTAATTTCATTTCCTGACAACCTTTATTCTGATCGATTGTTACTTAGTATGTTACCAGGCTACTTAAATCACCTCGCCTAGTTAACTAGCTTGCTAGTTTTCTAGCCGGTCCCAAGCCCGGATAAAGAGGGAAGGTTGAGCGTAAGGCTAGCAACCCTACACCACTTAACCTATCAAACCGCTAGAGATAGTTAAACACATAAGAATATGTTAAAAAACAAAAAATACAAAGGACCATTTTATTCTTCTCTGGAATCGGGGAGGCAAAATGACGCGGGCTGGTGAAGGCCTTCGGGAAGCCAGTCAGCCAATGTGTCTTCTCTCGATGAAAGCAAATTGAGAATGCGGACGTGGAATGTCCGTACAATGTACGAAATTGGGAAGGCTGCCCATGCAGCCAACAAAACGCGAAGATATGGCATACAAGTGCTGGGTATCTGCGAAAGTAGATGGAATGGATGTGAATTATCCAAATTGTCAACTGGAGAGTCAGTAATCTGCTTCAACCACCCAGACAACAACCACGAACACACTGAGGGAGTGTTATCATGATGTCACCAGTGTCATTCAAAGCTCTTATGCTGTGGGAATCAACCTCCTCCAAGACTATAACAATATGATTCAACTCAACGGGAAAGAAGGTCTCAGCCATTTAATACTACGCACCTGCAAACAACTCGGAACAAGAGAAGGAAGATTCCTATAGACAACTACTAAGAGTAAAGGACAACATCCCGAAATGGAGACATCAAAATACTTATAGGTGATACGGATACAAACCAAAACGGGAACAGATAATACAGGAAGAGAACTCATCATGGGTCGAGAGGCTCTCGGAGAAATAAATGACAAAGGAGAACTCTTCGCAGACTTCTGCGATTTCAATGATTTGGTGATCCGAGGCAGCATGTACAAACACAAGGATATACACAAGGCAACATGGATTTCGCCTGATGGACACACCAAAATCCACATGGACTTCATCTCAATACTGTTCAAGAAATGGAGATGCATTGCTGGACACAAAGTCGAGTTGGCTCAGACCATCATCTAGTTCTAGTGTAACAGAAGACAAGGACCAGGCAACAGATCGTTTATTAAAGAAATCAACACATATTTGTAGATTTTCATGTACATATTATAGATTATTGTTAGCAGAAAAACACAGTCTTCTGACTGGTTGTTTCTCACAAAAAGTTAACATTTCATCTCTTTGTGGCTGTTTCTTGAAAGTCAGATCATCTATATGCTAACTGTATCCACCTACGCAAAGTCTTTGTTCCTATTTTTCTCACGACCAATATTTGGGACATAAACCTTGACGTCTACCAATTTGGCTAGCAGCCAGCTCTCACCACACTAGGAACCTTCGAGGTGAAGCTGAAATCCTTCAGAACAACTGGAGACAGGCCACAATTCAAGTTCAATAATCAGAAACTGAGGGACAAAACTATAAGGGATGCCTTCGCTACAGATATCACAGTAAAGTCGGACACACTAATTGGCATCACTAAGGAAACCTGTATGGAAGAACATTGGAACTCTCTGAAAGTGATACTTAACGAAACATGTACAACTGTTCTAGGAAGAAGGAAGAGACAAGACAAGGAGTGGCTGTCAACGGATAGCTGGAAGCTAATCGAGGAGAGGAAGATGGTGAAAGAGATGACTCAATGCAAAGATGCACAACAGAAGGAGAAGCCGAGTTCAATGTACGCTGCACTGAATAAAGTAGTAAAGAAGAGTGCTAAGAAAGACAAAAGACAGTTCTACGGCAAACTGGCCGGCAACTGAAACGGAACTAGCTGCAGGTAAAAGAGATCTCAGGATATTATACCACACAACCAGGTCCCTATCAGGAAAGAGATCAATCCAGATAATGAAAACATTAAAAGATGCTCAAGGAAACCAGGTTACCAAAGAGGAGAGGCAAACAAAACAATGGGCTGATCACTTTAAAGCACTCTTGAATCAACCATCACCTGCAGCCCGCCCAGAAATACTACCACCACCGACAGCACGCACAGAACTGCCTGCCAGTGGACACCAATCCTCCAACACAGACAGAAATCTTGAATGCAATCCTCCCACTGAAGGCCGAGAAGGCAGCAAGATCAGACGGAATTGCTCCTGGAGAACTGAAGACGGACCCAGAGACTGCAGCAGATGTGCTCACGCCATTATTGCAAAAGGTTTGGAAAGGTGCCCACCGATTGGAAGAAAGGTTGGCTACCTTGTCAAGCTTCCAAAGAAGGCTAACCTAGACCTCTGCATGGAATAATCCCCTTTTCCACGCCAGGCAAAATACTAAGTCACGTCATTTCGGGGAGACTAAAACATCCACTGGATGCAGATCTCCGCCAACCGGAACAAGCTGGATTCAGGAAAGGCGAATCGTGTGCTGATCAAACTGCAACTCTGTGCATCATCATCGAACAAAGCAGAGAATGGCAGTCAAACCTCCACCTCAACTTCATCGACTTCGAAAAGCCTCCGACAGCGTTGACCAAGGAGTAATTTGGAAACTACTTCAACACTACGGCGTACCTCTAGTCTTTATCAACCTCATGCAACAGCTATATCACAATGCCACGTGTCAGGCGATCCACAACAGGAAACTCAGAGAGGCATTCGAAGTGAACACAGGAGTAA